GAATCGGAATGTCATGCCTTTTCCCTAAGGAGTTAGGTTGCACGGGATGTTCCGACTTTGGAAATCCAAAGCAATGAATCCCTGAGGGAGGCATTTCAGACCAGTGGGAAGATATATAGGGGGAAGGGGAAGGGACTTACCAAGTGGGAGTAGATGGGGTTTTCACAGAATCAGAGGCCCTTAGCATTGGCTCTTAGGGTCCAGGTGCAGCCAATTTGGTCTCAAGGCTTTGTGATTGAGGTTGGAGTGACTCACAACCTTAGAAAGCCAGATCATAGGACCTTGGGATGCTTTTATTCAATCTGCCTACTAAGGAGCAAATCACCTCAGGTCATCACAAAAATAAAACCTGATCAGAATTATTGCATATGATAGAAAGGAGGGTCATTATCTTGCCTTAGGACCCCAGATTCAATTATTTGTATGTACCTCAGGATCTAAACTTTGCTTCCAGAGTTGTTGGGGAGTATTGAATAGAAAATAAGAGCTGAAGTCCTGAGAGCTAAGTAAGTAGTCTACCAGGTAGTTCTTAAAACCTTCTTTAGTCACAAGTTCCTTTATAAATTAGATGAAATTTTAGTCCCCCCTCCAGAAAAATGTCCACAGGTGGAATTTTGCTTAAAATCCCAAATAGCTCACGAAGACCACCCATAGGCTTCATAAATCTGCCTCTTACAATTCTTGATCCAACAGTTCACATAGTTTAGGAGAATGAATTAAAACTCAAGTTTCCTGATTTCCAGTTAAGTAGTCTTCATAATAGGATGTTTCTTGCAGGCTGCTCAAACCACATGGATAAACTGTAGTTGAGGGTCCCAAAATACCGTCAATAAAGAGATTCATAACAAAGGAAACCTTTTCACATTGGTGAGGTCGAAGGGGCACGGCTAACTGGTGAGAATCTGCATATTAAAGTTTTTGAGTGTTTTCTTTTAATATGCTTCTACCCTCCTTGCAAACTAGCTAGACTGTTGTGATTTCAGAATGTAAATCTTGGGCTCACTGACTTTTGGCAAGTAGAAGGAAAATCCCTCCCATTCATCTTTTGCTTTTATTATCACTTGCTCAAGTGTGTCTATATCCTTCGTGCCTGCATGCACCCATGTTAGGAGGGATTGATGGAACAGACACGGTTTTTATAGTGAGAAGCAAATCCAGGAAGAATGAGGTTCACACAACAAGTACACAGTAGAGCCTATAGCTGAGCCCTGGTTTTTGGCCCCCCAACTTCTTCATATTTTATACCAGAGGATTCTGTGGTCCCCACACCTTGGTTCCTAACTACAGATGGAAAAAACAAAAGACATGTTGATAGATACATAGGCCATCCCAGACATTAGTCAGAATCTCCAAAGGTGACGCCTGCGCTGCCTGGTGTTGGCAGAAGTAAATCTTCATTTTCCTCACCTGGAAAAACAGTTTTGCGTGACAGAATGAGGGGGATTTTTTTGTTTGTTTGTTTGAATTAGAGTTTTTGAGGCAGCCACACCTGTATCCAAATCTGATACTGACCCCCTGGCTAGTAACTCTCTCCTAGGCTATATCTGAGGATAAATAATACATGTAGTAAGGCCTAAGTGTTATCTGTCTTCTATATCTTCAGTCTGGGAAGCAGGAATTCCTGGGTTCTTCTCTATCTTGTGATTGAGAGGTTAGGCCAGAGTCATATGAAGGACCTGCAAGAGAGGGAGAAGCAGCTGCTCTAGTCCATCCCTGGAAACTGCACTTCATGGACAGCGTCCTGGGGGTTTGAGTGCTCTCAGGGGAGTTACCCAGTAGCGCCTAGGACCGTGAGCTGGGGGAATGCTTTTATTTTTGCTTCAAAGTTTCCCTTTTGCAATGAGAAGCCTTCAGAGGTTCTGGGGGTCAGAAATGTGACTCTGAAGATTGCTGAAGGTGACCCCGGGCATGGTGCCTCCTCCAGGAGCCAAGGAAACCTAGGAAAGGCCCCATGGGACTGGGAGGCTTCGCACCTAACATCTGCTGTGGGCATGGGGCTGGCAAAGTGGGACATGTAATTCCGGCTTATGATCACCTGACTTCCTGCCCTGGCTTGGGGAAGAAGAAATCCAGTGGTTGGCCACTGGAAACTCTGTGCAGATATTGCCAACAGGTTTTGGTCATCCCCCAGTTCCAGGGGGCTCCTGAACCCCTATAAGCTGAAGAAGGGAGCTCTGCCAGTACAGCACTGGCAGTGTTTCCTTCTCCTCTACTCGCGTTGAGGCTGAGGCTCACTCCCTGGCACAGGGAGCTGGTGCCCTGAACTGCGTGTTTGGCAAGTGGCTCTGACCTGGGTCAGAAGGCTCCAGGTGGGGCTTGCGTGTGGTCCTGGGCTCTGGGGACACTAGGGAGCCGAGGGTCAGGAGTGGAAGAGAGAGGCTTTTCCCTGCTCCCAGAAGGTAAGTCATCAGGCCCCAGACCGGCGTTCCACCCTGAAGTCCTCGCAGGCAGGTGTTTCAGTGACCCGTCTACCCTCCTCTGCAGGAGCTGCTGGGAGGGGGAAAGGGGAGGGAGCTGGATGGACTCTGTGGGTGCGGAGACAGAACAGCTCTGGTTTCCCAGGAGCTGGAGTCCTGGTTTCCACTCTCCCAGGACTGCTGGGGCCCCGTGAGAAATCGAAGGGCACACATGCAAAAGGAATGAAGAGCCTTGTGCTCCTGACTCAGAGATGCCCAGACCAGGGCGGGGGCCTTGTGAGGGGCGACCTTGTGATGAGAGGGAACAAGAACAAAAGCCGGAGACAGAAGTGTAGAGATGGGGGTGTCGGAGGGGCTTTCTGAGATGAGAAAATGAGTACACGGGCGATTTTGCAATACCGAACAGCCTGCTGTCATGTCACGCCTCTCCTCCCCGCCCCCACCCATTTCCCTTGCCCCGCCCGGTGCTTCCTCCCATCTTTCACCCAGCTCCTGTTCTATTTCTGCTTTCCCTGTTCTTCTTCCATCTAGTCACCCCCCTGCCCCCAGCTGTCCACTGTTTCCCTGGTCCCTCTGGCTGCCTGCCCTGGCCCCCTGTCCTATGCTTTAATGTGGGGCCCATGGGAACTGAAGTTCACAGCAAAACAGGAAGAGCCTGTGAGCAGGAAGCTGGCAGTGGGGCAGGGGGTGAACAGACAGCAATAACCTCAGCTCCTCGCCTCCCACATCTGGACTGAAGCATCCCCAGAGCTCTCTGCCTCTCCCAGTGCAGCCCCCCCAGCTCCGGTCCAGCAGACCTGAGAGGCAGCAGGAAAACACTATCCTGCACTCCGACACCCAAGGGAGAAAGAGTACAGGGACTGGAGTGAGGACATCTGGATTCCGATCTCAGCTTGGCCACTGTGTGTGGTCTTCGAGAAGCCTCTCCCATGAGCTCAGTGTTCTTTGTCAAATGGAGCTGGTATTTATGCTACTTCCTGGGGCTGCTCTGAGGACCAGAAGAGACAGCGCAGAGTCTGGGGATGGGAACAAGCTCTGCGAGGTGAACGCCGTGCAGTCACGGTGATGGGAAGCCCCACAGCCGAGAGGGTTGGAAATTTAACAGCTGCTACCATCCCTGGAATGTGCCACATCCTACCATCTGCTTGCTGTGTGCCACACTTTGTGCTGTGACATATTGTTTCATGCTCATGATAACCTTAGGGCCGGGGTGTCAAACTCATCTTCACTGGGGGCCACATCAGCCTTGCAGTTGCCTTCAAAGGGCTGCAATAACTTTAGGACGGTGTAAATGTAACTACTCCTTAACTGTTAAGGAGTTGCTATTATATTCGGCCCTTTGAAGGCAACCACGAGGCTGACATGGTCCCCGGGGGAAATGAGTTTGACACCCCTGCCTTAGGTGGCTGAAATCATTGTTAGTATCCCAATACTAAAGACAGGGAGACAGAGGCTCAGAGATGTTGGGTAACTTGCTTAATCAAGATCACACAGCTAATAAGAGGCAGAGGCAAAGCCAGGATTTGACCCCAACATCGGAGCCCAGAGCCAAAAAGCTAAATTAACACGTGGAAATGAAATTGCCCAGAGCTAATGAGTGTAGGGCAGAAGGGGATAATATCATTATTTTTTGTTTACTTACTCCTGTAAAGAACAGGAACAGAGTACCCAGTCTGTGCCGGGCCCCGGCCCATGGGCTACCGGGGAGGTAACAGTGAAACATGGCGCCTACCTTCAGACCGGATCTCACATTCCAGGCAGGGAGGCTGCAGCTATAGTCTCCGCAGTTGCTGGACAGAGCCTGTCATCACTTCACTTGAAACTGTACCCTAGATGAGGGAACCTGCATACTTTCCTGAGTCCCCCCTGGGCTGGCACCCGGGTTGCCTGCCACCTCTACCTTCCCCATCCCGGGCCTGCCATTGCTCCTCTCTCTCCTGATCCCCTCCCCTGTTGGTACCCCTCACAGGGCACCCCCATTCAGAGACTCCCGGGAAGACCTAGCACCTGCCTCTCTCCACCCTGGAGTTCTACGGCTTGGCTGAGGCCTGGGGCTGGTGGGGAGAGCTTCTTGGCCCCCTCCCAGAGGCAGGGGAGGAGCAGGGAGGCTGGGAGAGCAGGCCCTGGGCTCCGTGTTGCAATTCCAGGCCGTGCTGGGACCTTTGCTCCACGAAATGTCTATGGAGGGGAGGGAACACCAACTCTGGAGGCTGCCGGGATTGGGGTGGGGGTGCCTGGGAGGCAGTCCTTCTGTAAAAGCAGCCTGGGTGAGGAGAGGAAGGGGAGACGTGGAGCCGGGCTGGTCTGCAGGGAAATGCAACTGCTGTGGTTGGGGTAGGGGGGCAGGGATGGCACTGGGCTGAGGGGGTGGCTGGTTGGGGAGGAGTCAGCATGGTGGGGAAGCTGCAGGAGGGGGGGCGGGAGGCGGGTGAGGAGGCCAGGGCTCCAGTCTGTCGGCTCCAGCTGACTCCCGGTCTGCCTGGCAGGAAGGAGCAGTGACCCGACCCCTGGGCAGTCCCTCCCCTCAGCCTTTCCCCATATTACTTGCCTGGGGCTCCGGCCCCTGTCTCGCTCAGCTCCGGCTTCCCAGCCACCTCTGAGGCCTCTGGACAGGGACTGCACCTCCCTCCTCTCTCAGCAAGGGGGCTCCAGACACTGCCCCAGCAGGGAAGTCTGGTGGCCTGGGCGTTCGGTGGGTCTGCTCCTCAGCACTTGCCTGGGGCTCGGTGTGTGTGTGTGGCGCGTGGGTTTGGGGCGGGGTACGGGTGTCCTGTGGACCTTAGAGAGGGTCTCTCTGCGGAGAAGTGAGGGAAGATGATGGTGATGGAAGCTTGGGCAGCAACAGGATTCTATTTAGGTTCAAGAATAACGTCTGAGGGCTGTGAGGGGGGAGGTCCTGTATGCAGACTGGGGCAGCTCTTGGAGGGCAACTCTTTGTGCTGGGACCCTGGGAAGGGGCAGGAGTGAGGTTATCTAGCAGGCAGCATATTTCACTGGGTGGAGTGAGCCTCGATGCCAGGTCCTGGTTCTGTCCAACTTCAGCTGTCCCCAGTGCCGGGGTGAGGCGGAAGGAGCTCTGACCGAACCAGGGCAGATGTGCCCACACGTCCCCTGACGGCCTGGAGAAGGGGCCTCTGGGAAAAAAGTGTCCTCGTGGCCGAGGGCTCAGAGTTGGAATCTTGGCTCTGCTGTTGCTTAACTGTGTAGCCAAAGGCCGTTTACTTAATCTCTTTGAAACTCAGTTTTCTCATCTGTAAAATGGGCAACAGAATAGTCCTGACTTCACAGGGGTGCTGTGGGGGAGGCATGTAAAGCCTTAGCATAGACTGATATGTGTGTGTGTGTGTGTGTGTGTGTGTGTGTGTGTGTGTGTGTGTGTGTGTATCAAGTAAATGTTGGCTGACATGTGAGTGCTGAGAAGGAAGGAGTCCACTCCACTTCTGGACCAGTGTAACCTGGGTTGTTCCTGCAGGACAGGCCCTTGGGAATGTCCAGGGCTCCAGGAAGAGATGTCCTTGTGGCTGGAGGCCCCTGTGTCTGATGTTCTTCCTGGTAAGCTTCTCCCCTCCAGCCCTGTCCCCTCAGTCGGGACCCCCGACTCCTCTCCTCCACAGTCATCAGCCTCCTTCACTGCCTCCCTTCTGTCTTTCCCTGGAGAGTGGTCTAGAGCCATCCTTGCCTCCTCCCGCCCAGACTACCTCTACCCTGGTTCTGGTGCCTGGCCCTCACGGGCACCTGCTGGTCCTTCTCAATCTGGGCTTGCTGCTGGGAGGGTTGGAGTGTCCAGTGCTTACTCATCTCTGGCTCTGAAGAGTTCTGTCTGATCTCTGAAACAGATGCATGTCAGCCCCCTCCAAGGGGCAAAGGTTGACATTCTCCTTTAAGGTGTTGAGATGCAAGAAATTAACTAGCTCTAGAGTCCATACAAACCCCAGGGTCCTAAAGCCTGAGTTGATGTTTTGCTGCCCTCTATGGGTGGAGATAAATTTGCAGTTTCCCAACCAGGACCCTGGGGAAGTGGAGGGGGAAGAAGACCTGAGACTCGCCTTGTGCCTCTTTCTGGGCTCAGACTCTGCAGGGGAGCTGTGGAAACTGGATGCACAGGATGCAGGCAGCCAGGCCCTGAGAGGCAGCAGCTGCATCCCCATGGAGGAAGCCAGCATGCCCCACTCGGCAGGGGGCACCTCGGGGGTGGGGCTGGAGGCGGCAGAGCCCACAGCCCTGCTCCCTGGAGTGAGGGCCCCTCCGGAGTCAACAGGTGAGGAGCTGCTGGACTTGGGGGACGTAGGTGCTCCCTGGGTCTGGAAGGAATATCTTGGGTTTGTTGTTTTTTTTTAAAGTATTGATTTTAGAAAGAGAAGAAAGGTGGGGGGAAGAGATTGGGTCTTGTATATGCCCTGACCGAGAATTGAACCTACAACCTTGGCATATTGAGATGACGCTCTGACCAACTGAGTCACCAGGCCAGGGCTTTGGGGGCTCTTTACTGTAAAAAATTATGTTTCATTACCAAGTCTTTGGGGTCAACTAGACCTGAGTGATCTGAGTGTGAGCTTTGGCTCTACCTTAGGCCTTTCTAAGCCCCCATTTCCTTATTCATAAAGCAGAAATTATAATAGTAGCTATCGCATATGGCCACTGTCAGAGCTAGTACATGGAAGGGGCTGAGACAGTACCTGGGACGTAATAAATAGCACTTGGCCTACAAGAGCTACTTTCTTATAATGGAGAGGCTAGACTGCATGTTTAAAAGGTGTGTGAAGGTCACTGAGTGCTCAGGGCAGTGGCCAGCTGGGTGCCAAGCTTGTTTCTTAGAAAAGAACATTAAAGCACTTCCCTGTATCCAGAGCTCCGTCCACAAAAGCGGAAAAAGGGGCCAGCCCCCAAAATGCTGGGGAATGAGCTGTGCAGCGTGTGCGGGGACAAGGCCTCCGGCTTCCACTACAACGTGCTGAGCTGTGAGGGCTGCAAGGGGTTCTTCCGCCGCAGTGTCATCAAAGGGGCGCAATACGTCTGCCACAGTGGGGGCCACTGCCCCATGGACACCTACATGCGTCGCAAGTGCCAGGAGTGTCGCCTTCGCAAATGCCGCCAGGCTGGCATGCGAGAGGAGTGTGAGTAGCCGAGGGCAGGAGCGGGGAAGGGGCTGATGGGAAAGAGGGGCGTGCGGGTGCCGGGGTGCGAGGGCAGGCTGGCTGCCGAGTCTGCCCAGCCTTCCCACATGGTCGCTAAACATGGATTAAACTCTCTGCTCTTACCCAGTGATCTCTGCTTTTCTGGAGCCTCAAACTACCCTCGGGCCCATCCTTGCTTCCTGCCACCCCTTCCTCTTCCCTCCTCACGTCTGGCCCGTCCTTAGGCGTCCTGTCGGAGGAACAGATCCGACTGAAGAAACTGAAGCGGCAAGAGGAGGAGCAGGCTCAGGCCACATCCCTGTCCCCAAGGGCATCCTCACCTCCCCGAGTCCTGCCCCAGCTCAGCCCAGAGCAACGGGGCATGATCGAGAAGCTGGTGGCTGCCCAGCAGCAGTGTCACAGGCGCTCCTTCTCTGACCGGCTCCGAGTCACGGTGCCCGAGGGACCTGGGGAGAGGTGGCTGTGCCCAGACTGCCAGCCGGCTTCTGACGGTCCGGCTCAGTGGTTTGTCTCCCCCCCCCTTGCCCTCCCGAGCAGCCTTGGCCCGTGGCGCCGGACCCCCAGAGCTGGGAGGCCCGGCAGCAGCGCTTCGCCCACTTCACCGAGCTGGCCATCGTCTCCGTGCAGGAGATTGTTGACTTTGCCAAACAGCTGCCCGGCTTCCTGCAGCTCAGCCGGGAGGACCAGATCGCCCTGCTGAAGACCTCTGCAATCGAGGTGGCTGGCAGGGCTGCGGGGTGAAGGGAGCACCAGAGCAGGGTTGTCTTTGGGAAGGGTCTCCAGATGGCCAGCTGGGAAGCCAGACCCCCTGGGAGGTAGGGACCTTCCTTTGAAGGCGCCCTAGGCCGAGACCAGCCTACCACGTCCCTGTCTGAGCTCTGCTGCTTGTGTTCAGGTGATGCTTCTGGAGACATCGAGGAGGTATAACCCCGGGAGTGAGAGTATCACCTTCCTCAAGGATTTCAGTTATAACCGGGAAGACTTTGCCAAAGCAGGTGAGAACTGAGGTCACAAAGGGACTGGATTGGACGGATGGGCACTTTTCGTCCTGGGGCCTCCAGAGCCAGCGGCCCAAGGTTTGGGTGGCTGTAAAGGGAAGGCTTCACCCGGTCCTCTAAGACAGAAAGTTGGAATGTTGCTCCCGACCTCTGTTGCCTCGGACCAGTGGTTCTCCAACTGTGTTCCTGGGAACCTGAGGGAGGGGTTCCACAGAAGTCTCACTTAGAGAAGAAACATGGAGGCACAGGAATGTCCTGCATTCTCACTTTAAATGGAGCCAAACAAGAAGCTCCACTTAAATCCACGTTACAGATCATGCTTCTGCAAATGTTGGCTTGAAGAAAAGATTGTGCAGCTAGGAAAAATAGCTCGAAAACAAGCATACCAAGCCTTTATACCAAGTCAGTATCAAGCAAATCTTTCTCAGACATGCTCTTCAAGGATCACGTGGACTAACCCCCCCCCCCCATTCTTCACTTGCTCTTTCCGAAGAGCCATGGAACCGCCACTGATACACAGCAGGGACGCCCAGATGGGGCAGCTTTAAGATAAGAGTGGGTGCTTCTCTCCCTGTCCTGTACTTGGAGTATTTTCTCCAAAAGGTTGTTCCCATGGCCGCTCTCTAGCTGATGCTTGCTTGCCGGCTCAGTAGCGTTGGTTTCCTCATGTTCAGTTGCTGGTAATGTTTGTTATGGGAGCGGAGATAGGGCAGAGTGGAAGGTGGGGGCATTGGGGGGACTGGAACTGAGAGGCTCCACAGGGGACTGAGGAGCCTAACCACCGAGGCAGTGGGTCTGTAAAATATGGCTGATGCTACTTCTCCACTCTTGGGGTTGGGAGGTCCTGGTTTCCAGGGCAGAGCTCATAAAGCCTTCTCTGCTGTCCGGTGACTCAGGCCAGCTCACGTGCCTCTTATTGACCCAATGCAGGCTGCCCAGTGAACTTTCTGGAAAGGCCTTTCTCTACTGGAGGGCACAATGGGACTGTTGGCACCCTTTGCCTTCTGTGTGCTGCCAGAATGTACAGGTGCCTAATAAGGGCGATTTAATGACTGCTTCCATCCTTAAAACCCCAGCCCTGCCCCGCTTCTCTACCAAACCATCTTCCCTCAAGTGGTTATTATCCCAGTCCTTCTCCTTCCTAACATCCTCGCTTCCAAACCCTTCCCATTCATTCTCTTGTGGGTGTTCCTTTAGCACTTGCAGGCTTGGGTTCTCTGCACCTGTACTTATAGATTCATTTCTATAAGCAGTTTTGATATCACCTCTGCTGTTCATTTGTCATTGTGTCAGTGAGGTCTTGGGGAGAAGGGACAGGGGCTGTCTCTGCTCCGCTCTCCTTCCCCGCTACGTGACTAATGACGTGGGCTGATGGCCTTGCAGATGTTCACTCAGCGAGCAGTGGCAGACGCTGTCAGGTGCACAGTCCAACTCTAGAACCTCCTCATCCTTTCTCTACATACAGGCTGTTCAGCACAATTCAAGGCTCAAAACCTCACCAACAAATGCTTTATGACATAGAGCTTGTCCATTAAATGAATCAACATACACCTGATAAACATCAGGGTGAAAGTACAGGAAATGAGTAATCAAGAAACCTCGAATGGAAAAGTTAGCAGATGTTTGCTAGAGGAAATCCGAGAAAGCCTAGGGGAGGGCCTGGGCGGCTTTGGCGGTGTGCGTGGGACAAGTGCTTTTTAGCTCTCCCGGCTTCAGGTTGTGCTCTGTTGAACAGCAGTTCCCCCATCAAGAAGAGTGGTTCTATTTTTAAGTTTGTATTATTTATTTAGCAAACACTTACAGAAGAGTTACCATATGTGCCACACATGACTTATTCTAGGGACTAGTATGAGGTAGGCGCTATTATCTCCATTTTACAGATGGGAACACCAAGGCTCAGAAAGGTTAAATAAGTTACCCAAGGTCACACAGCCTAGTAAATGGCAGAGCCAGGACCCAAACCCAGGCGGTCTGGCAAAACAATCCACACCCTCAACCACATTGTTACGTACCCCCAGGATATGAAACATGAACTGTATCTCCAGTGTTCAAATAAGTAAGGCCAATTGCCTGTGAAAAGGTTTTTTTAAACAAAAATGAGTTACCTCTATTTCTAGTAATGGGGTCAAGAATTTTAATGAGAATAACAGAATTATTATTATCATTTAATACAGCACTTCCTGTGTTCCGGGCACAGTGCTAAGTGCTTTATCACTTGGCTGTTATAACAGTCTTATAACTTCAGATATGATTCCCATTTAACAGATGAGGCCTAGAAAGGTTAAGAAAATTGCCAGAGGTTACAGAGCAGAGCCCTGGAGACTTCTTATTGAGTTCCTAGCGTGGCCGCTCTCTAAGTTGTGGAGTTGAAGGAGAGAAGGAAGTTCCCGCCACTCATGCCACATACCCAGCCCCCCCTCTTCCTCCCCAGGACTACAAGTGGAGTTCATCAACCCCATCTTCGAGTTCTCCAGAGCCATGAATGAGCTGCAACTCAATGATGCCGAGTTTGCTTTGCTCATTGCCATCAGCATCTTTTCTGCAGGTGCGGAGGAGGGGCAAAAGGGAAAATGAGCAAGAGACCTGAACTAAGGAGGGGCACCGGCCCCATAGCACAGGCACAGTAGGGGGTGGAGGCCCTTGCTGTCTGTGTTACTTTGGGGTGGGAGAGGTAGGGTGGGACATGTTCCTATTTTTGGTTGCGATTTGGGGTATGAGGCTGACCTCGGCCGGACTTGCTCCTCAACTCTGTTGGTGAACTATAGACCGGCCCAATGTGCAGGATCAGCTCCAAGTAGAGAGGCTGCAACACACCTATGTGGAGGCCCTGCATGCCTACGTCACCATCCACCACCCTCATGTGAGTCTGCCCTTCCCCTCCACACAGGCTCGTTCCTGGCACACTGACTATCCCTTCTAGACTCCCACCCCCATTACATCCTGTAAACCACAGGTGGCAAACAGAAGGCCCGCGGGCTGAATCCGGCCCTCCACCTTGTTTTATCCGGCTCACACTTTGTTTCTACCCAGCGGCAGCACCACCGAGCTCCTTGCCCCCAGTTAAGGAGTAGTTACATTTACACAGTCCTAACATTACATACGGCCCTTTGAAGGCGACCTCAAGGCTGATGTGTCCCCCACCCCCATGAAAATGAGTTTGACACCCCTGGTGTACACAGGGGTGTCTGCCTCTCCCATAACTCCCCTACCCTTGCCCTTCTTCCCTGGGGAGAGACAAAGTCTGTACTTGTCCTCCTTCCCCAGGACCGACTGATGTTCCCACGGATGCTAATGAAGCTGGTGAGCCTCCGGACACTGAGCAGCGTCCACTCAGAGCAAGTGTTTGCCTTGCGCCTGCAGGACAAAAAGCTTCCCCCGCTGCTCTCTGAGATCTGGGATGTGCACGAGTGATCCCCCGTATCTTCTGTTTTCTGGGCTGGCAGAGGCCCCATGGCTGCCTCCTAGAGGTGGAACAGACTGAGTAGGGCAAACATTCCTGGGAGCTGGGCAAAGGAGATCCTCATGTGGCATTAAAGGAGAGTCAAAGGGTTGGGAGTCTGTGGCTGCTGGGCATTGGGTGTCCTGCCAGAGCTGGGCTCCATGTGAACACTGTACTGACTCACCAAATGAATGAGCCTGAGGCCACTTTGCAGTAGGTGCTCCAGGGCGCTGCTGATGCTGCCTCCACCACTTCCTGTCTTCCCCACGGGGCCCCATGAGAAATTGTCCACTGTCACTCTGTGGCTTGGCCATAAATGCCTCGAGACTGCCTGTCTGATAGGTCGGACTGGTACTGTTTATACAAGAAGACCGAAGTGAATACAGAATGAGAGAAGCAATTTCTGGATTGGGGGTGGGGAAACGGCCACAGGGAGGGAAGCCTGTGTCCTTTAGGCTCACTTCCAGACTCAGAACGGAGACAAGTCCAAGTGCCAGGCTCTTTTTACTAGCCCCCATTGCACCCTGAGGGTCCATGAAATGCTGATACCCCCTTCCCCTTTCATGTTGGGGGTAGAGGGTCAAGTTGTCTTTCTATGGGGAAGGGGGTGTTGAGTTTTCAGAACTAGTATTTCAGCTAAGCACCATTTCGGTCCCCAGACAATGGGATGGGAAGAAAGGTCCCCGGAGCCAGGGAGAGGTTGCCCAGCCTGGGGTTGGGCCTCTCACGACGACTGGACTCTATTTCCCAGCGGGCACCGCGGCCCAGCTCACGCCCCCTTCCCTTGGCGCTCACCCGGTGTAGGTGATACCGCACCGCGTCTTCCGGCTTTTATTGCCCGCGCCTCCCCTGAATTGGTAGGCTCCACTGCCGGGGCAGACGGCTTTCCTGCGCGAGCGGCTGGGCACTTCCAAGCCGTGTGGGGAGAGAGAGTGAGAGGTGTGTGTGCGCGCGCGCGAGTGCGGGGGTAGGATCAGAAACTCAGGAGCAGTTTATCCCGAGAAGTAGCTTCCCAATTAGTCCACACTTCATCGGAATGGGTTCTATCACCATGTCGAATTAAAACCTGTTTGCGCAACCTTGGCACGAAGTGGCGCTGGGCTGGCCCTGAGCTCCCCATCGCGTTCCCACTCCCACTCCTATAGGTGTGCGCGTAGCCGCCTTTCTCCTGGGTCGGCTCCACCTTTCAGCTCGGCTTGGTGCCACCCTCTACCCCTGCGGGGGTGAATGGTAGGGCCCACCACCCTCCTCACCCTCCCCTCCCTTAGCCGGTCGGAGCGGTGCGCTCCTCCACCCGCCACCCTACTCGCCCCGGTGCAGACACGGATCTGGTCCCGCGCCGGGGAGCGACGGACGTTCTGTTGCCGGGGGACAACCGGCCGGATCTGGCCGGTCCCCCAAAGCTCAGGAGGTAGGAAGGTCCGGTCCACTGGAGGCCCCGGAAAGGGTATTTGGGACGGGGTTCCTAGGAGGAAAACGGGCTCGGAGAGGAAGCAGGGGCTCCAGGAAGAAGGAGGTCTCGGGAGGCCGTAAAGGAACGTCAGGGCGCGTTGGGTCTCGAGAGCGAGAAAGGGGTCCGCAGGAAGGGGCGGGGCTAGAAGTGGGGGAGAGTCGCTGAGTGGTTGCGGGCTACTGTACCGGGCTCAGCTAGCCGCTGCCGGGCTCGGTTCTTGCCAGACTGGCGGGCTGCACTGGTTCCGGGGCGGAGGCGGGGGAGAACTGTCCAGCAGGTGAGGGGGCGGGCAGAGCTGTCCAGCCCAAGGGCCCATCCGGCATGGCACCTGGCGCGCGCGCGCGTGTGTGTGCGTGTGCCTTTGCACCTGATTTTTGGTTACAGTTTGAAGAACTCCGTTTGGTTCTTTAAAATATTTATTTTTTAATTTGGTGTTTCAAAATGGACTTGTTAGTGAGTGAAGACACCGTTTAGCCTTTCCTGCAACTGCTTCCCTCTGCATCCTCGTGCATCTCTAAATTCTTCCTCCTTTTCCTGCCCTCCCCTCCTTCCCAGCCCTGCCTATAGCTTGCTCATTGCTCTCTGTTCTCTCCCATGCTGGACCCAGTCTGTGTTGATGTGCCTGCAAGGTCACTGCCTGGGGAGAGGGAGGAGGATAGAGCCTTTCGTGCTCACGTCAGCAAAGATGTCATATCGCTCTTCGGTTCCTGTGGTTTTACTATGAAATTCTGCCCTTAAAAAGGCGAATTCATAGGGTTGGTTGTAGGCTGAAAAGACATCCGTAACTTGCAGAAAGGCCTGTGGGTTGCAAATCTGCGTCTGGACGGAGTGGATGGTGATGCAGGACTTCAGCAGAATGGTATGCATTTTGAGCTTGATGCCTTTGGAATATAGGACTGAGGAACCAGGAGCTCCGTGTTAGTAAATACGGTTGAGGCAGGAGGCAGAATCAGAACTCGGGTAGATGTGAAGACAGAGTGTGAGTTATAGGTGGTGTTAGAGGATTTGTGAGTAGGGGAGAGCATGAGAAGAAAAAAAACTTCATTATTTCTGCAATCTGAATAACCAGAGGCAGTGCTGTTGATGAGCTGGGAACTGTGGCTAAAAATCCATCCTGCTGCTAGTAGCTAGAACACTCACAAGATCTCAGGATCCTTGTGGCTCTGGAGGGAGATGAGCTGTGTAGAGCATGATAATGACTTGATTTGGGGGAAGTGATTCTCAGTGGAGAGGGGCTGGGATCCCACCGCTGGAGGCCCGATGCCTACTACATTAGCAGAAGATGCTTCAGGTGTGATCTTTGAGATTTTGGCAGGAAAGGGTTCCTGATCTTCAGTGTAAATATAAATTTCAAGGCTTAGCCTTGAGCTTGGACCTATAAATTCTCTTTTATTTTAAGATACATCAGGTCCTCAAATAATGCTGTTTCATTCCACATTGTTTAGTTATAATGTTGATGAGATGCCCTAGGAATTTAACTCTTGTTAATGTCAGTTAACCTGTGGTAAAATGGGGTTTTGTTATATATCGTTTCACTTAAAGTTGCCAAACCTGGAGGCGTTAAGTGAAGACTTACTATACTTTGGCTCTCACCCTAGGCATTGTCCACATAATTCTTCATAGAATGAATTATGCTTTTACCCACTTCCCATTTCAGTTCTGCTGCTCTCCTCTTCTCATTCTGGTTGGGAAGAGCTCAGGTCGGCTCTGTAACGGTGCCCCACCTCCTGCATTATGCTTTTACCAGAGGAGAGGATCAGAGGACTTCCTGGGTGGCGGTGATGCCTACAAATGAGTCTGCAGCAAGCTGGGGCACTTGGTGTTAGTTGTGTGCAAAGGAGATATCTCTGCCAAACTCCAGAATGAGCACAAAGTGCAAAGAAAGGACAGATGGGGAGAAGATAACCTAATAAGTAGCAGGTGCTGTCAGTGGAAGAGATGTCTCCAGATTCAAGGAGAGTGGATTGTCACGGGCCTGGGCTGACTCTGGAGTAGCAGCTGCTAGCACTGTGAGGTCACCACGCAGGGGAGGGACTGTGGCTCAGCTATAAATAGTACTGAGAGCCAGAGTAGCTATGGAGATAACACTGAATCCTGTTACCTGCTGGTCCTCTATTGGGAGCAAGGGAAAGGAGGAGGCAGTATTTTGAGGATTTGAGAGGTACTGCAACCCTTCTTTTATTATTAAGCAGGGGAGAGAAAAGATAGAACTTCTTCTAGTCATTATCTGTACCAAATAGGGCCTTAAGCATACAGGAAGTGTGTATGTGTGTATGGGCGCACATGCAGTGATGAAAAAGGGACTGGTGTGTGAGTGTGTGTAGTGTAATGCGATTCCCTGTGTATAGTGAACCAGGTCTCAGTGTGGCCACGTGCAGGGCACAGAAGTGGAATTCTGGGAGCACTGAAAATCATCTTGAGGTAGAGTGAAACATTTTATTACAGAAGTGTGTGGGACACCCAACAGGAAAAAAAAACAACTATAATTAAGACCCTGTAAGCATTTCCTAATCTTTGGACCCTGGTTTGGAAATTCCTCTGAGCACTTCTCCCTGTCCTTGGAGAAATCTCGTTATTTCTGCATCTAGTGCCCAGTCTTTGTAAGCTACAGAAGGACAAGGCCCTGTCTGCGTGCGTTGTATTATTGATTCCAATGCTGGGACCGAAATAGAGGAGAAAGACTATGATTCAGCACCAAGGGCAGAGCCAGTAGCAGTAGCCACTGAGTCCCTTTTTTGCTTGAAGAGGGAAGAAAAATGGTTTAAATAAAGCAATTGGGTCACAGATATTCTTAATTCGAGATTGCACAGGGTAGGGTAGTCAGCTGCGATTGTCAGAGATTGCCTGAGAGCAATTAACTGTATAGTCTATATGGTAGTTTCACATCAAGCTGGATGCAGCATATTGGAACAGAGGATAATTAGGTTTCCATCTGGAGCTAGGAGTACAGATTAGTGCTGATTAGGGAGTCTGGTTTGGTCCTGATCCACCCTGGAGCGGTCCTGAAAGTGACTTCATTTTTGGTATCGCAATGACTAAATCCAGATTAGGCTTCACTGGGCCTGTGTTTTCAGAAAAGGAGCCCAGAGGCAAGCCTGAGAATGGACTGGTTTGTAGGGATGGGATGTGAGCCATTATTTGTCCTTCTTGTCCTTTGACTCTGTGAGCACATAAGCCTGGACCGAATGCTGGGCTGGGGAAAGTGTCGGGTTCTCCTGTCTGCAGCACAAAATTGGAAGACCTTCTATCCTGTGCCCCTGGCTGGGTGACGCTGACAGGGCTGTGTCCCCTAGGCAGAGCAATGGATCTTACTGGTACTTTTTTTCTGTTAGACTTGGATTTTCAGATAACCACAGGACCACTCCTGGGCACGCTGACTCCTTGCCTGGAGCCCTGCAGCTTCTCTGAGATGAACTGATGCATTGGAGCCATGGTGCAGAAGAAGAAGTTTTGTCCTCGGTTACTTGACTATCTGGTGATCGTAGGTGCCAGGTAACCAAGAAGAGACTGATTTTTGTCTCGTCGTCTGGGATAGCGACGAAATTGTTCCCCTGTCCAATTCCATGTTGATTTGCAAGTCTCGTTCTTCCCCTTATTTTACTCTGGTGGGCGCACGAGTGGTGCCACTGGTGAAAACAACATAGCCAGGGGCGTTCAGAGTAGCGGCTGGAGGAACATAGATGGAACAGAACTCTCTTTGTTTGTTTTCTTAAGATTTTATTTATTTAATTTTAGAGAAAAGAAGGAAGGGAGAGGGAGAGAAATATCAGTGTGTGGTTTCCTCTAGTGCGCCCCCTATGGGGACCTGGCCCCCTACCCAGGCATCTGCCCTGACTGGGAATGGAACCGGTGACCCTTTGGTTCACAGGCTGGCACTCAGTCCACTGAGCCACACCAGCCAGGGCAGAACTCTCCTCTTAATGAGCATCTCTGTGTTCTTGAGCAAATGTACTTTATATGCCTCAGTGTCCCTGTTTTATAAAAAGGAGAAGTACATTTTGCTCCTTCTCTACCTTCATATGTTCTTTTGATGACTGATTCGTTAACGCACCTTGAAAAGGTGTGAGTGATGATAATTTTATTGTCGAAATTTTTCACTCTTCAGGACAGATGTCATGCTAACAGTGCAGGCTTCACTTAGCCAACCAGCTAAATGTAGCAAGCAGCACCCATATTTTTCAGGGTCCTGCAGTTAGTTACTTGATCCAGAACAGCATATTGAACTTTATTTGTTGACCGTGGTAAGATTTGATAGCACATCCCAGCCCCCAGGCTGCTGAATTGGTCTCTGTGTTCCTCAGGCACCCGAGCAGTGATAGCGTGGCCCAGACTCCGGAGCTGCTGCGGCGGTACCCCCTGGAGGACCACACCGAGTTTCCCCTGCCCCCCGACGTCGTGTTTTTCTGCCAGCCAGAGGGCTGTCTGAGCGTGCGGCAGCGGCGCATGAGCCTGCGCGATGACACCTCTTTTGTCTTCACCCTCACGGACAAGGACACTGGGGTCACCCGTTATGGCATCTGTGTTAACTTCTACCGCTCCTTCCAGAAGCGAATGCCCAAGGAAAAAGGAGAGGCTGGGGCAGGGTCCCGTGGGAAGGAAGGACCCCGGGCCGCCTGTGCCTCAGAAGAGGTGGGCCCCGAGGGCTCGGAGAGCGGCTCGTCCCTGCAGCCTCCCAGCGCCGACTCCACCCCTGATGTGAACCAGTCTCCTCGGGGAAAGCACCGGGCCAAGGCGGGGAGCCGTTCCCGCAACAGCACTCTGACGTCCCTCTGTGTGCTCAGCCACTACCCCTTCTTCTCCACCTTCCGGGAGTGTCTGTACACCCTCAAGCGCCTGGTGGACTGCTGTAGCGAGCGGCTGCTGGGCAAGAAACTGGGCATCCCCCGAGGCATCCAAAGGTGCGGTTGGCCGCTGGCGCTCGGGAGATGGTGGGGGTGGGCAGGGATTTACAAAACGAGGTGCAATTGGTCTGTGAGGGGCACAGGAGATTTTCTCTAAGGCCTGAAGTTTTTCAGACCTTTCTAAGCACATTATGTTAGTCCTCACTAAGCAAAAGACTGCTGCTGAGGTGGCCCTCCTGCCATAGTTGTGTTTGGGTCGGTGCTCAGGAACCGATGCTTCGTGATGCGCAGGGCAGTGGTCACATTTTTCTACTTGTTCTCACTCTTGTACTTGCCCTGTGGGCCTAGCTGAGCTCCCAGGGTGGGCTTTTCCAACTGCCATCACTATACCCTCCCTGCTTACCGTGGGTTGTCGTGGGGCATCAGCTCCTGGCACTGAAGCGTCTGTTTCCCGCTCTCTGCTCCTCAGGGACACCATGTGGCGCATCTTCACCGGGTCATTGCTAGTGGAGGAGAAGTCAAATGCCCTCCTGCACGACCTTCGAGAGATCGAGGCCTGGATCTATCGACTGCTGCGCTCCCCAGTACCCATCTCGGGGCAGAAGCGAGTAGACATCGAGGTCCTGCCCCAGGAGCTCCAGCAAGCGCTGACCTTTGCTCTTCCAGACCCCTCTCGATTCAGCCTGGTGGATTTCCCACTGCACCTGCCCTTGGAACTTCTGGGTGTGGACGCCTGCCTTCAGGTGCTCACCTGCATCCTGTTAGAGCACAAGGTGAGCGGACCAGCTTTCTAGCCCTTCCTCAAGCTTTGAAATATGGCGGAGGCCAAGCCACGAGCTCTTTGAGATCAGAGACTGTATCTCTCTCATCTTTTTGTCTCCGGGAGGTAATATACTAGGTACCGAGCAGCTACTTGGTAGGTGTGTGTTGAACTAAGATACTGGGATCATATGGGAGGTATTCAGAGGGCTTGCCCTTCACTTTAATTATCTTTAACTATCCTGACCGAATTCTCCAGAAATACCAGTAGTTCTGTCCCAGCGAGTGGTCTTGGGATTGCAGGCCCAAGAACTAGGAACGTAGGGAGTGACTCGGGAAGACCACCGCTGCCGCTGCGCTTGTATTGGGAGGGGTGAGCAGAGTGGGGTCACAAGCGGGGATGATGGCAGAAACTAAGCGCCCAGAACCACAGGCAAGGTGGTGAAAGAAATGGAATCATTGTGTTGGAAGCGGTTTTCTTGTAACCCATATCTGTGCGGTTGAGTGACCCTCACGACCTGTGGCAGGTGGTGCTGCAGTCCCGGGACTACAACGCCCTCTCCATGTCCGTGATGGCGTTTGTGGCCATGGTCTACCCCCTGGAGTATATGTTTCCTGTTATCCCCCTGCTGCCCACCTGCATGGCGTCGGCAGAGCAGGTGAGTCGCAAGGTGTCTTCTGTCTTTGTCACTTCTGTGTTCCGATTCTGTCCAGCTCTGGGGGGAAGGCTCAATGCCCTGAGAAGCCGTGAGTCAGTTCTGGTTCCCAGTCCCCTGCAAATCCGACCTGACCTGAACTGACCTGGTGGTAAAGCCTATGCTATTCACAGTGTTTACTTACCCAGTGAATGTTCATGATTCCAGGCTACTGGCTACAGCACTGCAGGTATTACATGCATTTTTCTAAAATCTGAAAAATTCTGAATTTTGAAACACAGCTAGATCTGTCTTCAAGGGTTTTGGAGGAGGGATTGGTCCTTTATCTGGAAAAACCTGCTTTGAAAAATGGTCCCAACAGGTCTCGGTTTCGTCTCTTCCCCCTTCATCCTTTCCACAGCTGCTGTTGGCTCCGACGCCGTACATCATCGGGGTCCCCGCCAGCTTCTTCCTCTATAAACTGGACTTCAAAATGCCTGACGACGTGTGGCTGGTGGATCTGGACAGCAGCAGGGTGAGGTTCTCGGCTGAGCCGTGGTGGGGCTACCGTGGGGCGGCGTCCTGTTTTTCCAGACTCCTCCCAGGAAGGCCCTGAGTCGGTGGTGATCTCTGCTGTGCGACGCATTGAGGCCGTTCTTTTTAGAGCCCTCTGGAGGACTCCGAGAAGGACAAGGGGTAGTGTCGCCAGAACGAAGTTCTCCCGCATCCCAGCGCAGCCGGGCAGTTGTGCGGGCGGGACGGTTACGTGGGCTGTGGATCAGCTCCCGGTTGTGTTCAGTTATAGTTTCTAGTGAGAAACTGTCTTTCAGTGCAGACCTTTAAAAACACATGTTAACATTCCGTAGTGTGCCTACAGACTTCGGTAGGGAGCCCTTTCATATGGTCATTATAAAAATTGTAGAAAATACAAATAAGTATAAAGAAGTAAGTAAAAAACATAATTCTACTATGTAGAGAGTCACCAGCAGCGTTTGGGCGTATTTCCTTCAGGCGTGTATGCACATCATATACACGTGTGTGTATATATCTCATACGTGCTGGTATGTGATGTATGTGTTCATGTACCTACGACAATGCGTAAACAATCTCCTAGTCTTTTCACTCACCCTCATGTAGGAGAAGCTCCTAAGCAACGGACTTGGAGGTCATGCCTTGTACGCTCTCTCTGGCGCAGGTGATCGCCCCCACCAACGCAGAGGTGCTCCCTGTCCTTCCAGAGCCAGAGTCACTGGAGCTGAAAAAACATTTGAAGCAGGTGGGTGAAGGGCGGAGCAGAGGCGGGGGAGCAGCCCCACCGCAGGACAGCCGTGGGCAGGCAGCCGACGTGGGAGCCTCTCTCCCTCTGGACAACGTGTACATAGCCCTCACCTTGGGTGGGCGTGAGGGGAGGGGCAGCCTGGGGGCTGTTCAGATTCCCTGACTGTTGCGTAGCCTCTCACCTTCCGATGCTGCTTCCGGTGCTGTGGAAAACACCCTCCACTTTCAGCTTCTTGTCACGTCTGCTGTTCTTGATGGCCTTGGATCCTCTCAGCCTTGTTAGGAGGGAGTGAGGACAATCTGGCTTTTTACTTTTTTTCTCTTAAATTGATCCCTAGGTCCCCGCAGAATCCTTTCTTCAAAAATTCCTCCCTTTGAGTAACCCCTTCAGTGCGTTTTGCGTTGACTGACTTTCTTCTTCCCTGCATGCCGAGCGCAGTACTTGAAGGTAAAGCCCGACGAGGCCCCGCTCCTCTGCCTGCCGTGTGGGTTGCGGAGGACCACCAGTGGACGGCTCTGTCCTCTAGGGATCCCTGCCCTCATTTGAAGGGTCGTCGGGAATCTGTCTCTAGTTGTCTGAGTTGCCTAGCAGCACCTAGATGACCCCTGCGTGGCTTTAAGTGGGTCATTTTGTAGCATCCCTCTCACTTGCTTCACCACCGCTGATGTAACCTGATACCTTGTCAAGTGCAGAAAGTTCTGCCGCTCTTTTCCTTTGCCTGTTTTCATTCCTGATGGTTGCTGTAGTATGACTGATGCAGTGGTGTATGGAACTGTACTTTGAAGGGCTGTAGGAGCCGTGGTCCTTGGGCTCATTGACCCTGCATTCCTACCTCTGCTACTCGGGGTGCGGTCCGCAGGCCAGCAGCACCAGCCTCCCTGGGCGGGTGTGGTAGGCGTGCAGAATCTCCCCAGGCCTCTAGAGTCAGAATCTGCGTTTTAACAGCAGCCTCTGGTGAAATCTATGCCCAGTAACATTGAAGCAGCTCGCTGACCTAGACCAGTGGCTCCACAGTGCCCCACAGAGTCTCTGAGGGGTTGACTCAGGTTGCCAGCACCAAACTCACGAGGCTCCGGGTTCCTTATGTCCTTCGAAGAAGCTTAAGCTTCAGTTGTTTATGTTTCCACATAGATTTCAATGGAAAAACAAGATTTCATGGCTAAAAAAAAATGTGAAAACTATTGCCCTGGATTTGATCAACTTACCCTGAGCCAGGTTGGCTTAAGCCGAAGATCTGCATAATTCACATTGTTTTCTAGAGGTTAAAATATTTGGATCCTTATTTCTAAGAGGCAGGCCCAGCCCCAGGGGATGAGCTGGGCTGGCGGCCCGGGACTCTGCCCTCGGTGAGGAATTTCTTGTTGCTCCACAGGCCCTCGCCAGCATGAGTCTCAACACCCAGCCGATCCTCAATCTGGAGAAATTCCACGAGGGCCAGGAGATCCCCCTGCTCTTGGGAAGGCCTTCCAGCGACCTGCAGTCCACCCCTTCCACCGAGTTCAACCCACTCATCTACGGCAACGATGTGGACTCCGTGGATGTCGCCACCAGGTACCCACCCAGCAGCGCGGGGGGTCGCGAGCTCTTCAGCTGGGCTGTGCTCACACGGTGACCTTGGGGCAGACGCCTTCCCTGGGCCAGAGTTTCCTCGCATGTGAAATATGTGTGACAGCGGGTTATGTTTGCCACCTTAGTCAAAGCAAAGAGAGGAAATAGTCCTTCACACTGTCGGGCACCTAAGGGCTGGAATGAAGAAGAGGACCGAAAACTCTGAGACACTGCCCTCCTCGGTGTCTGGTTCTGGCGATGGCTCTGGGAGGGGCCTGAGACGCTGGGTCTAAGGGGTCCTCGCTCTGCAGGCTGTGGGACTCGCATTACCTCGCCTCCCCTTCTTCCCCAGAGTGGCCATGGTCCGTTTCTTCAACTCCCCCAACGTGCTGCAGGGCTTTCAGATGCACACACGTACCCTGCGCCTCTTCCCTCGGCCTGTGGTGGCTTTCCAGGCGGGCTCCTTTCTAGCCTCACGTCCCCGGCAGACTCCTTTCGCTGAGAAACTGGCCAGGACTCAGGCGGTGGAGTACTTTGGGGAATGGATCCTCAACCCCACCAACTATGCCTTTCAGCGCATTCACAACAGTGAGTCCCCGCCTGCAGCGCTGCCCCGCCCTCGGCCTTGGTCCCTGGGACGGCTCTTCCCTGTGCTTCTTTCCCTTCCGCATCTTTGGCCTGCCCCTTCCATTCCTCTTTGGCTTTGGACTTGTTCCCACCTTTCTTTTATGTTTTGCTTGCTTCCCCCAGCCTCCAGCCCACCACCGTTGCCAGCTCTCTCCTTTTTCTTCTTTGAGCAGACATGTTTGATCCGGCCCTGATCGGCGACAAGCCAAAGTGGTACGCACACCAGCTGCAGCCCATCCACTACCGTGTCTACGATGGCAATTCCCAGCTGGCCGAGGCACTGAGTGTGCCGCCGGAGCGTGACTCTGACTCTGACCCTACCGATGACAGGTGAGCAGTCCCATGTGCCCGCAAAGCAGCAAATGCTTAAGGTAAAGAGGCTTTCGCTGGTGCCGAGACAGCACAATGGCAAAACCCTGCGGGAGTTAGATGCCAGCATTAGAAGCCTTGGTTATGCGTCGGCTGGTTGCTGTGTGTTAGCTTCCTTATTTCACATTGTTCCCTGGCCTGGAGTTAAGGGTGCTCCGCTGTTTTCCCTGATGCTGACAGCTGGTTCTTTCCCCTGTCCCCTCCTCCTGTTGTCCTTCTGTGTGCACGCCGCTCACTTGGCAGTGGCAGTGACAGTATGGATTACGATGACTCCAGCTCTTCCTACTCCTCCCTTGGTGACTTTGTCAGTGAAATGATGAAATGTGACATCAATGGTGATACTCCAAGTAAGTGTCCTTGGGGAACTCGGCCAGCTCTGGGCAGGCTGTGGGGTTCTGGGTGGTGCGGGCCGTGCCCGCCACCCTCGGGTTTCGGCAGATGTGTGTGGGGTTCTGGGTGGTGCGGTCCGTGCCCGCCACCCTCGGGTTTCGGCAGATGTGTGTGGGGTTCTGGGTGGTGCGGTCCGTGCCCGCCACCCTTTGGCAGGTGTGTGTGGGGTTCTGGGTGGTGCGGTCCGTGCCCGCCACCCTCGGGTTTCGGCAGATGTGTGTGGGGTTCTGGGTGGTGCGGTCCGTGCCCGCCACCCTCGGGTTTCGGCAGATGTGTGTGGGGTTCTGGGTGGTGCGGTCCATGCCCACCACCCTTTGACAGGTGTGTGTGGGGTTCTGGGTGGTGCGGTCCGTGCCCGCCACCCTTTGGCAGGTGTGTGTGGGGTTCTGGGTGGTGCGGTCCGTGCCCGCCACCCTCGGGTTTCGGCAGGTGTGGGGTTCTGGGTGGTGCGGGCCGTGCCCGCCACCCTCGGGTTTCAGCAGATGTGTGTGGGGTTCTGGGTGGTGCGGTCCATGCCCACCACCCTTTGGCAGGTGTGTGTGGGGTTCTGGGTGGTGCGGTCCGTGCCTGCCACCCTCGGGTTTCCACAGGTGTGGACCCTCTGACCCACGCGGCCCTGGGGGACGCCAGTGAGGTGGAGATTGAGGAGCTGCAGAGCCAGAAGGAGGCGGAGGAGCCCGGCCCCGACAGTGAGAATTGGCAGGACAACCCCCCGCCGCGCTCCAGCTCCAGCACCACCGCCAGCAGCAGCCCCAGCACCGTCGTCCACGGAGCCAGCTCTGTGCGTGAGGACTGCTGGGGCGTGGGCCTCGCCTCCGTCAGGAAAGCTGGGATGAAGCTATTGATTTCATTGGCTTCTTTCTTCAGAATCCATGGGACCTGCAGCTAGAGCCTCTACAGTGTAGTTTTGACCTCAGAAGGAGGCCATCAGGCTTTGTGCAGGCATTAGCTGAGATCCCCACACGTAGTTTGTGGGGACCGGGAACGGGTGTCACAGGGACCTTTCTCCCAGGTTCCTTAGGACAGGAATACGACAGGCCTGGCTCAGCCGTGCCAAACCGCGAACGTGGGAGGGCGCCCGGGCACCAGCTGATGACTTCGTTTACTTGCAGGAACCTGCTGATGCGACAGAGACGGGTGACAAGGTGGCAGCAGGCGTCTCCAAGCCCCCACCTGCCGTGCCCCCCGGCGTTGGCAGACCGAATGTGGACAGGCGGCAGGCGGAAACCGGAGAGGGGTCAGTGCGCCGGCGCACCTATGACAATCCGTACTTCGAGCCCCAGTATGGCTTTCCCCCTGAGGAAGAGGATGATGACCAGGGGGAAAGTTACACTCCCCGATTCAGCCAGCATGGCAGTGGCAGTCGGTGAGATCCTGGGGACCCCTCCCAGAGGGGTGACTGAAGGCCCTCACTGCAGTGGACCCCAGGCGAGGCTCGATCAGGAGGCCTGAATGCTCTGTGGCCTCAAGATCCCCAGAGGGAACTGTGGGGTAGCCTGGGGCCGCAGGCCCACGGTCAGGTGCCCGTGCTGGGGGCTCATAGGTGCCACTGTGCATTCAAGGGCTCAGAAGCTGCTGCGGCCCAACAGCCTGAAACTGGCAAGCGACTCAGACGCAGAATCAGACTCCCGAGCGAGCTCGCCCACCTCCACCGTCTCCAACACCAGCACCGAGGGCTTTGGGGGCATCATGTCTTTTGCCAGTAAGTGTTTCAGCTCTCTCCCGCCGCCGTCCTGTTTTCTCTCCACCAGGGCCTGGCTGTGGCGGATGCCGCTGGGAACCACGGCCTTGTGGAGCTGTAGGGCTGGGCTGGCATCACCAAGCCCCACTTCAGAGCGTTTGGTGATGTTCAGGGAGGTATTTTCAGGGGAGGTCAGGAAAGAGCAGGGACAGATTGAGCACTGTGTTTACACCTGGAGGTGTCCATCTGTTGCAGCTAAGGCAGCGAGTCAACTAAAAGTTATCCGTATATTAAAAGTCATGCACTTGTGCGTATATTTTGTGGGAATATGCTGGTCAGATTTGATTTGGGTTTGTATCTCATACCTTCTTTGTCTGGTGAAGGACTTTTTCATGAACGTACTTTGAAATCTATATGAGGTTGACTTTCGTGCACAGAGAATATTTCTGAAAGTTAAAGACTGGAGGCAGACGTGGGACCAGGGAAAGCCAGCCTAGGGGGTAATCGTGAGTGTGTTTTTCCAGAAGCCAGGAAGGGACAGCACCCACCTAAGATCAGAAGCGCATTAACTGCCGACTCCCGTGGCAAATTGGCAGTAGATGAGCGACGTGGATGTTGCCGTGGGAGGCAGGCAGGGCACGTTGTTACCGGGTTTTGAGTGGTCTTGGCAGTGGCCCCTTTGTTTGCCCTGAGTTAGACTTGGCTTTTTCTGGGGTAGATTGGAGGCACAGGGTCTGTATTTGGGAGGACAAAGATGGAGATGACGACTGAGTCATCGGAGCATAATGCTTTGATTCTTTAACCCCGAACTCATGGCTCTCACACCCTCCCCTCGACAGGCAGCCTGTATCGGAACCACAGTACCAGCTTCAGTCTTTCTAACCTCACGCTGCCCACCAAAGGAGCCCGGGAGAAGACCACGCCCTTCCCTAGCCTCAAAGGTAACGGCAGCCCTGCTGTGCCAGCCGGGCTTGTCTAGCGCCCCTTCGGGGCCCATGAGTGCCCGTCAGGAGCCCGTGTGTGGCGAATCGTTTGATCTGGGTGTTGCCCCTCATACCGCTTCTCATGGCTTTCACTGCACATCGGGGCTCTCGCTGGTCTTCAGATGGACTCTGTCTTTGTAGCTGAAGAGAAGAGCCTGTGCTGTCACGTAGGATAATGGTGACTGTGGGGTCGCTGCTGCTTCTGGGGGAACCGTCTGAGGTGCTTAGCTAACGTAGGGCTCCCCCAGTGCCAGTTGTCCGCCAGGTCCCCACTGCGCGGACTCCGCCGCAGGGACACTGCCCACCAGGGGGTGGATGTGAGGAGCCTCGTGCTGTGTATGTATTTGGGTTTGGCTTTTGAGCCTGGCAGTGTTTGTAGAGTCAAAATGCCTCTTCCTTTGACTTCATGTCAGCCGAGGGCCTGCGAGCGAGCCAGGTGGTATGGGTCGGCTTCTCGGGGCAGTTGAGACCCGATTCGATGGGCATCTCTGACAGGTGGAGGGGCTCTTCGAATTGGCCGACCTTCGTTTGTCTCCTGTGGGTATTGTGCTGAGATATTTAATCATAGTGGAGATCTCAGTGAGAGGCAGTTCTGTGTATTTTTAAGAAGATTTTATTTATTTATTTTTAGAGAGAGAGGAAGGGAAGGAGAAAGAGAGGGAGAGAAACATCACTGTGTGGTTGCCTCTCATGCGGCCTCCACTGGGGACCTGCCCCACAACCTACGCATGTGCCCTGACTGGGGATCAAACTGGCGACCCTTTGGTTTACAGCCTGCACTCAATCCACTGAGCCAGGCAGTTCTGTGTATTTTTTAACTGACCTCTCTTTTTAGTAATTAAAAATGTCAGAAATCTGCCCTGGCTGGTGTAGCTCAGTGGATTGAGCGCGGGCCTGTGAAGCAAAGGGTCTCTGGTTCAATTCTGTCAGGGCACATGCCTGGGTTGCAGGCCAGGTCCCCAGTGGGGGGTGTGCGAGAGGCAACCACACATTGATGTTTCTCTCCCACTTTCTCCTTCCCTTCCCCTCTCTCTAAAAAATAAATAAATAAAATATATATTTTTTAAAATGTCAGAAATCTAAGGAAGGGTCTTTAGGGGATGGGAACACAGGAGAGATGGGCAAAAGGACATCAGAGCTAGTGGTGCAGGGAGCTGACGGGCCCTGTAGAGAGGACTCACTCATCCGGGCTCGGCAGGTGAGCGATGGAAGGGTGGTAGCGGCCCCGGCTGTCCCCTGGCACAGCTGAAGAGAGCAGTTAGAACACTTCCATTGCATGCTGATGCTTCACGTCATTTGCCGCACTTGTCACTCCCACCTGCCTGCCACCCTCACCCCGCACCCCACTTCCCACGACAGCATCTGCAGGATGGGCCTCTGCCCTCTGCACACCCATGGGCCCTCTGGACCCTGTGCTGGAGGTTCCGTGAAAACCAGCGGTCCCTCTCCCAGCATGTGCCTGCCTGGTCAGGACCTGAGGGCTCCTTGTCCATTCACCCTGCCCCTGCTCTGAGAGGCCATGGTCTCAGGGACGGTCTTCCCCGGAGCTTCCGTTGTCTCCTGGTCGCTGGGCTTCCAGCTCTGAGGGGCCTGAGAACCCAGGTTGCGTGCACCAAGCTTTGGGAGAACGTTCTGTCTATCTGGCTTACAGCTCCCTCCAGGGTTACAGGGGTTGTGGTATTGCGGCGTACCTACTAATTGTGTATTTTGTGTCCCAGTATTTGGGCTAAATACTCTAATGGAGATTGTTACTGAAGCCGGCCCCGGGAGTGGTGAAGGTGGGTCTTGCCCGTGAGCTGTGCATGGTCTTCCTTCCCAGCATCTTCTGTGCCTGCCTGCGGGCCGTCCTCCTCTGGAGCAAGCAGCATCCCGTGACGCCCATGCTTGCCCCTGGGGCGTGCTGCTGGTGCATGTGGAGCGACCCGAGTCTCCATCCCCACCTCCTCCACATTGCCACGGCTGGTTTCTGCCCCTGCGTGACGCCCGCTGCCGTCCTCGCCCAGCCCCTCTGGGGGATGGTGTGGGACCTGGCTGCCCACGACTTTGTGGACCTGAGCTCCCAGGCCACAGTAGTGATGGCTCTCATCCCTGCCCTCCTGTCTATAGGAAACCGGAGGGCCTTGGTGGACCAGAAGTCGTCTGTCATTAGACACAGCCCGACAGTGAAGAGGGAACCTCCGTCACCCCAGGGTCGATCCAGCAATTCTAGGTAATGGCAGAGCCATTTTAAAAGTTCTCAGAGGTAGCGATTCCTGAAGCAAACTTTGAGGGTGCTCGAGAGTGGGAGGGAAGCTCTCAGTTGGACAGACGAACTCAGCCCCTGCCAGCACTACCCATTCTGCCTCCTTCCCCACGCAGCAGTCATAGCTTGCGGTGCCGAGGAGAGCAAAGCCGCAGCCGTGGGTACTTGGGCAAACCGGGCTCTCTGGGGCGCTGGGGGATGCAGCACACTTGGACATTTGCACACTTGGCTTTATGTTTTGCCCCTGGAGGCAGACGTCTAGTCTGGGGAAAGGGGCATGCTCTGCGAAGGAGCCAGTGAGCACAGAAGTGCTGTGTGGAACCCACAGTGAGAACCAGCAGTTCCTGAAGGAGGTGGTGCACAGCGTGCTGGACGGCCAGGGCGTTGGCTGGCTCAACATGAAGAAGGTGCGGCGGCTGCTGGAGAGCGAGCAGCTGCGGGTCTTTGTCCTGAGCAAGCTGAATCGCGCGGTGCAGTCAGAGGACGACGCCCGGCAGGACATCATCCCGGATGTGGTCAGTGCTGGGGGCGCTGGGAGCTGGAATCGAGGGGGAAGAGGGACGCGGACGCCAAAGGCAATTTTGCCAGCTCAAATGCCCGGATTGTTGCTGCAGGAGATCAGTCGGAAGGTGTACAAGGGAATGTTAGACCTGCTCAAGTGCACGGTGCTCAGCCTGGAGCAGTCGTACGCCCACGCAGGTCTCGGTGGCATGGCCAGCATCTTCGGGCTCCTGGAGATCGCTCAGACCCACTACTACAGCAAAGGTAGGGAGCGTGCCAGCCGGGTGGCGTGCCGTCCCCAGAGAGAATGGGCTTGTCCACTTGACAGATTTCCCGGTGCCAAGTCACTTCCCGTTAGGCTTGGGGATGTTGTTTCCTAGTGCAGGTTTAGGTGCAGTGGGTGTCCTTTTGTCATGGGCAGTAAGGGGTCCGTTTTCCTGCTCCTGCACTTCTGTCCCACATCCTCCTGCATTCTTGCTTCTCTCCCCCAATTCGCACACCTTGATTCTTACTCACTATCTCCTTTGACCTCTTCCTATACTCGATCTTCTCAGAAGCAGACAAGCGGAAGAGGAGTCCAACAGAGAGTGTGAATACACCGGTGGGCAAGGACGCCGGCCTGGCTGGCCAGGGCGACCCGAAGGCAATGGCCCAGCTGAGAGTCCCCCAGCTGGGGCCTCGGGCACCAACGGCTGCAGGAAAGGGCCCGAAGGAAGTGGACACCAGAAGTTTAAAGGAAGAGAATTTTGTAGCATCTATTGGTGTGTATCAGTGTGTTTGGTGTGGGGGAGGGGGTCTGGCTTCTTAAATATCCCTCCGTTCTCTCAATTCATCCAGAATCCTGCCTCTCTCTTTCCCATGCTTTGCTTTCTAGAGAGAGAGAGATCTTCATCCATTTCTGTTGGTCCTTCTTTGCACTTCTCTGTCCCATATGCTTCGTTCACAGCCCCTCCCCCACATCTTAACACGGGAGTTTTTCTTAGGGGGCCCAGTGAGGTTACTGCATGCAAGAGTTTGAGCCATACCCCTGGCCCCTCCTTCTGGGTTCCTTCACGGAGCAGCAAGGCGGTGTGGGCCCCCGGAAGCTCTAAGGAAGCTTAGAGGAGAGCAAAGCAGCAGCAGTGGGTACTTGGGCAAAAGGACCTTCTGTAGAGGACACACCTGCAGGCTGTAGCCTGGTGGTCGTCTGGGTCTCCACGGCCAGTTTCCCCTGCAGCCATTGCACTGCTCTCAACTGTGCTCCTCTGGGCCGTGTCCCAGTCTCGTTCCCCTGGGCTCTGGGCCTCGAGGTGTAGATTTCGGAGTCAGGCTTTCTTTAAAACTTTCCTTCCTGGACCTGATCAAGCGCTTGTTTACACTTGGTGTTTCCCATCCCCACTAAGGTAGAAGGAGCCGGTGACCTCTCTGGGTTCACCTCGGCTTGACTTGCTCCCTATGTGGATTTGAGTCATCCAGGTTGTCTTTATTTTTCTGGTTCTAGGTCCCTGGGCTGTTTGCTTCTAACCAGTGCCCCTTCGCCGCAACCGTTAGCCGTTGCTTTGTGCTTTCCTAAGTGATAACGAGGAACCAGTGTCCTCTTTAGGGGCGTTAACTTCTCTAGGCAGCGACATACCGTCCTAGAGACAAGTGACCCTGCCTTTCTCCCACCCGAAGTGACGTTCTCAGAAAAGCAGTGCCCTGCCGCCAGCTACGAATGTGGTTTTGGGCAAACCCCTTTCCTCTCCGTGTCTCTCTCTCCTTATCTGGGGAATGAGGGGGCCAGACTCAGTGGACTCTCAGGTTCTTCCAGGAAGAGAACTGCAATGATCGCTAGGCTCTCTTCACCCCTTCTGGGACGCCGTTCTCGACACTTAATGTTCTCTGTGACCTCTAGTGGGTGGCCAGGTATCTGGATGAGAAAGGGTCTCTTACTCGGACAGGCACTGGTTCAGAGAGTGAACTGGGTCATTTGGCAGCAACAAGGGGGGCTATCCACAGCCCGCGTGGGCGGCCACCGCACAGCCCGACGGACCAGGTCGGTCTGCACTCGTGCTTGGGAAAGCCCTTAGGCTGCTTAAGGGGACCGTCCGCCTTATCTGGAATCTTTCACAATTGCATTTGCCCAGCTCATTTGGCAGAGAGTGTGGTGCAGAGGAAGTTTAAACCGGTCCTAAGTTACATGCTCTCCAGGGACTGCTCCAGCCTCTTCAGGGTCAGTTTCGTCTTGCCAAAATCAAGGAGCTCGATTAAAGCCTCTGCAGGCGCCAACGGTGGGCGGGTGTCCATGCGTCTGCCTGACCCTTCTCTGACTCTCTCTGTCTTTCTCTCCTGCTTGCATTGCATCTGGGGTAGAATTGTGGAACAAGCACCGGGAAATGAAAAACCAAAAAGCTATGGAAAAACAGAGTAAGGAACCAATGCCCCACCCCGTTCCCAAGTCTCCCATACCTGCCAACTCCCCAGGCCCAGTGGGGCAGGCTCCAGCCCCACCCCAAATTTGCTCTAGGGGGGGTATTTGGAACGAAAGCAGGTAGGTGGCATGTGACTCCTAGGTATGTGGCGTGTAGGCTGCTTCTTCCCCTCCCCTCGTAGCAATCAGGCTGTGATGGAGGCGTCTGCTGTGTAAAATCCCTTAGAACTTGGTTCTCTGTTGCTTCCGAGGTGGTGGGGAGAACGTTTGCCTATTTCAGTGCCCCTCATTGGCTGATATCTCCCCCACCCGTGCGAAGGCCTGTGGGCACAGTTGGCAGAGATGGTTGCTGTCCCTCTGTGTTGAGTCTGTAGCTTCCCCACTCTCTCTGGTGGCTTGCCTAGGCACGCTTTCTTGCTTCCTGTCATTCTGTCCTTCTGCCATATCACTGTGGGTGGGTGGGGGAAAGGGGAGTGGTTTCTATCTCAACTGCGGAAGTTGTCCCATGGGGGTGAGCAGTGTCCGTGGAAACGGCTGGCATTTCTTTCTCTCACTGGGCCCCTCCCTCCCCAGCCCCTTCAGACACATTTGTTAGGGACACACTGAGTGACCAGGGCCCTGGAGGGTCTCAGGTACCAGTGGAGCTCCAACTCTGAGTGCAGTGGAGTGCGGTTAGACATTTGTCCGTGGAGCTTTTGTGTTTGAGGGTGACGGGCTCAGCTCTCCTCAGGTTGAGAAGACGGCTTCAGAACCCCTTGAGACCAGGTCTGATTTTTCCCACTTGGCTCTTAAGGCGCCTGGAGACTGCTTCTTTCAGGGGGGACCGAGGGGGGCAGTCCCCTTTCCGGGGACTGCGACATGCTGAACAGGCCTGGGTCCAGGCCGGCTTCCCCCCCACTCCCTTCCCCAGCCTGCCCCGGCCGCAGCGCGCTGAGTAACAGAAGCCTTCCCCCACTCAGGGCCTGAAGCGGTCAGACCCGTCCTTGACCTTGGTGAGACAGAGGAGAAAAAGTCCCAGGTCAGCGCAGACAGTGGCGTGAGCCTGACGTCAGCTTCCCAGGTTTGTGACAGCCTCGTTGATCATTGTGAGCATTAAAGTGTGTTATCTCCGATGCTTCTTGGAGATTAAAAAAAAGCAGCAACAACAGGAAACCTTGAAATGACATAAATACTCAATAATAGGGAAATGATGAAATAAGTAAAATACGTATATCCCCGTAATACAGTATTAACCATAGTTTTAAAAATTTAGTGACAGGGGGAAATGTTGGCAAAGCTATATACAGTACGATTCCAACTTTATTTCTAAAATACATATAGAAAAGACTCGAAAGGGAACATGCTAAAGACTTAAGAGTGATTAATGTAAGTGGTCAGTTTATGGCTTATTTTTGTTTCCTTATTCTTTTGTGTATTTACTACAGCGAACATCTATTTCTTTAGTGTTTATTACTGTTCTTATTATGTAAGTCATATGTATTTTATATTCAGGAAAAAATGATACTAGGAGGGTGGGGATGGAGAGAAGGAGGAAGATGCCGTACTTCTCGGGGAAGCACAGCAAACCGGACCCCTCCCCTGGCGTGTCTGAGCACCCGTGTCTCGTTTCAGAGGACCGGCCCAGACCCTGTCATTGGCGTGAGTCCGGCGGTTATGATCCGAAGCTCGAGTCAGGATTCTGAAGTTAGCACCGTGGTAGGGGAACACCACGCTGCCATCTCGGGGGCGGTTCAGCGGGGCCTGCTCCCTCCCTTCGGGGCTGTGCCTAGTCTCAGGTCAGCGCGGTCCGCCTGGCGGAGATGTTTACCTGTCTTAGGTCTTTGTACCTAGGGCTTCTCCTCATCCTGTAGAAAGGTACTTCCAGAGGCTCTGGCACACCTTGGAAATGCGATCCTTTTCTATGGCAGCAGAGAGCTCTCACAACGTAGCCATCAGGGACCCTTCCCTGGGGGATACCCCTCACTACCTTTTTCCCTTGCAGGTGAGTAACAGTTCTGGAGAGACCCTCGGAGCAGACAGTGACTTGAGCAGCAATGCAGGCGATGGACCAGGGGGCGAGGGAAGCACCCACTTGACAAGCTCTCGGGGCACTTTGTCTGATAGTGAAATTGAGACCAACTCTGCCACCAGTGCCATCTTTGTAAGCCCTGTTTACAAACAAAAGGAAAGTGTTTTTTAATGGGTGGGGCTGGAAAAGAATGAAAAGTAAGGAAGCAATTAGAAGTAAAAGAAGTAAGGAATGGATCAGCTCACGTATTTGCTTTTAAAGAAAATGTTTCTTAAGGCTTTTAAAAATATATATATTGATTTATTTTTAGAGAGGAAGGAAAGGAAGGGAGAAAGAGAAGAGAAACATCAGTGTATGGTTGCCTCTCGCATGTTCCCTCCTGGGGGCCAGGCTTACCACCCAGGCCTGTGCTTTGACTGGGAATCCAACTGGTGACCCTTTGATTCGCAGGCCAGCATTCAATCCACTGAGCCATACCAGCCAGGGCTCTTAAGGAATTTTTAAAAGATTTTATTTGTTTTTAGAGTGAGGGGAAGGGAGGGAGAAAGAGAGAAAACACAAAACATCAATGTGTGAGATAAAGCAATCAGTGGCCTGTCACATGCCCCCCACTGGGGACCTGGCCTGCAACCCAGACCTGTGCCCTGATGGAATCAAACTGGCAACCTTTCAGTTCACAGGCCGGCACTCAACCCACTGAGCCCCACCAGCCAGGGCTCTGAAGGATACTTTAAGAGTCATTGGACTCCATGACCTGGGGCTTTCAGAACCCTCTCCTGAATCACTGCTGAGTTAGGCTCTCCACCCAGTCAGCTAAGGGCCTCGACTGCAGCGTAGCAATGACCCCCGTGTTTAAAATGGGAGGAGGATGCCTTGTGGCAGTGTCAGGTCAGGTACAGCTCTCAGTACCGGGCCACCTGTTTCCATGGACTTACCTAGTTTTATTCTGGCCACTGCTCTATTTGTGTAGCACCTAAGAATAACACTTCTTTTAGTATATCCCCAACAGTTATTTGGAGTTTTTATTCGCTAGTAAAGATCTATTAAGTGATTTACTAAGTGCCAGTGTCCGTACTGAAGAAATAGAGATGAACAAGGCATGATTTTCACTCTCAAAGAAATTTGCAATTCAGTGTGAGGGGGGACCCAAAAAGTCCTGTAACTTATTTATAAAAAACTGTGTACTTATTTCTACATGGTTACTCTCCAGTCACCTTCAGAGTGCCCTCCGTTTGATGCAACACACCCATCGAGACGTTTTTTCCATTGCCCAAAGCTGTTTTTGGACTCATCGATTTTGATGCCTTTTACTGCTTCAGCTGTTTTTTATTTCACCTCCGCCACATCAGCAAAATGTTTCCCTTTTAGGACTTTTTTCATCCAGGGAAACAAAGTCACTCAGGGTGGGACAGGGTGACTGGGGGGGGTGGGCACAGGGTCATGCTGTTTCTGGTCAGAAACTGCTGAACACTCAGCCTGGTGTGAGCAGGTGTGCTTGTAAATCACCCATCATGAAATGGGCAGACATGTTGAAAGAGACTTCAGGAAAAAGTCACTGAAACTGAACGCAGCCTCTCACAACAATGCCAGCTGGTACACTGATAGAGATGGGTTCCTAGGACACTCACCTAGCAGGGGAAGCCTGTACTACAAGGGGCCCCCCCTCCAGAAGATGATTCTGGGTTTGGGGAGGCATCCCTCACACCTTTTTCTCTGACTAATCTCTTCTGACAAGAAAGGGCAGCAAAGCCTTAGGAAAAGACCTTGCCCTAGATCACACAACTAGCCAATGATCAGCTAGAATTAAGTTAATTCTTTCAGTCCTTGCCTTGAGGCGCACAGCTTTCCCGTGTACACGTGCCTCTTGAGGCTGTTGAAGTGAAGCACTCCGGCACACTTGCCACTTCATCAGGATGCATATTCTCTACAAGCGCTCACAGGTCCTTGTCTTTGGTCTGTGGAGAGAATGGAAATGAAATTTAAGTGAAATCAGTTAATCAGTACTGGTGATCATCTCTACTCCCAGGGTTTCCTGTGTATGGGTTTCTGATAGAGCAGGTGACATCCCAGAGGGAACATAAGGAGTAGGAGGTCAGCAGAGCCTTCAGGTTCACGGCCTTAACTCTTCCTGAGTGGCAGCAGGCCATTGAAATAAGTATGTAAGTCTTTCTAGTGCACTTCCAACTGGAGCTTAGGATAGATATTACGAAACGGCAGTCTTGCACGAGGCCCTTCAGCTGTATGCTGTCTTTCCTGGCACCTCCCTGGGACCAATTCTTACTTGTCCTGTGCAGGTTGGCAAGGGCCCTTTGTACAATTGAGTTGCTGAGAGCAATTACCTAAATTTCTGGGCTCAAAAAGGGCTGGCTTAGCAGGAAATAAAGTACATTAAGTCAGTATGATCCACTGAACAAAAAACTGGGCTGCGAACCAGGAGACTGGCATTTAGATACACTAATTACATTTTACTAATAGCCTGTGATCAGTTGCTTCTCTTTGTGAAGAGGACATGAAGCCTGCCTCTGAGCAGTTGAAAATCTTTTATGAAGCTTAATATTGCAGAAGTGGCAGGTGAAAGTTAGTAAGTTTCTAAGGGGCAGATACTCGACACAGTAGGAAAGAGGAAATTAACATTTATTAAATACCAACTATGTGCCAGGCACTGCTAAATGCTATAAATATACTTTCTGGTGTAATTCCTAGTATTGGTTCTATGAAGTGAGTATCACAACCTTTCTTTTCTTGGGTGGAAAATGAGACTCAGAGAAGCTGAGTTTCATGCCTAAGGTCACATAGCTAGTAGGAGGCAGGGCAAACGTGATATTCTTTCCACTGCAACATGCTGCTGCTGAGAATTGGCCTATTTTTTTAATTTGTGGAGCAGAGTCTTACAGAGACTAAAGAGTGAAGATAGGTCACAGTGAAAGCCTGACTGCATGTTTTTGGAGTCAGGAGTGGAAAGAAGGGTTATCAGATTGACTTCTGGTCAGATTCTTGAGGCCAGCGGAGTAGCAAAATCAGGGCAATTGGGGTGTATGTTGTTAGTGGTGACAGGTGTGTGAGCCTCTTAATGGGCTGCTTGGTTTTCTTTGCCCCTGTTCATGGGTACCTTGGGTGGGTGACCAATTGCCTCTTGTCTGTAGGGTAAAGCCCACAGCTTGAAGCCAAGTGTAAAGGAGAAGCTGGTGGGCAGCCCGGTTCGCTGTTCTGAAGACGTGAGCCAGCGAGTCTATCTCTACGAGGGACTCCTAGGTGAGAAGCGGACAAGGAAGGTCCCTTGCACTGGAAGAAAGCTGGACTCAGCCGGGGAAGAGGGTAGACTGAACAAGTAGCAGCTTGGCTTTTTGCTGCTCTCAGTGCTGATGTTAGGAAGCATTTTTATGTCTGGAGCAGGTGACTTACTGGGTCTGGAAGAAACAGTGGGTGAAAACTTGCTAAAAAGAGACTGGATTTTGGTATTAATCCATAGCCTCTCTTTCTGTCTTCCTTTCTTTCCTTTCTTGCTACCATGGTCCTTCCTGCTCACAAATTGGCAGGAAGGGACAAAGGATCGATGTGGGACCAGTTAGAGGATGCTGCTATGGAGACCTTTTCTATAAGTAACCACCTTTCTCTGTGTGCTGAGTTCATCCCTCCTCCTTGGGAGGGGCCGGGCCTCCCTTGGAGGCAGCTGGGCTGTGCATCTGGGGTGGAGAGGCTTGGGTTTCCTTTGCCTTGGAATTTGTAATGTCTTCCTTTTATCTGGAGTGTACTCTATTCTGGTTGCCAGGTATATTCTTTATAGGTCATTCAAGCCCATAAAAGACTCTATTCTACACAGGCAAAGAGCGTTCTACTTTATGGGACCAAATGCAGTTCTGGGAAGATGCGTTCCTCGATGCCGTGATGTTGGAGAGAGAAGGGATGGGTATGGACCAGGGTCCCCAGGAAATGATAGACAGGTATGAGGCTCAGGAAATCCTTGGGAAAAAATTCGTCCTTTTCCCAGTTAGTTCTTCCCACCCGAGGGCTGACTTGTCCCTGGTCCCCTGCTTAGGTACCTGTCACTGGGAGAACATGACCGGAAGCGCCTCGAGGATGACGAGGATCGTTTGCTGGCCACGCTTTTGCACAACCTCATCTCCTACATGCTGCTGATGAAGGTAGTGTCAGTTTTGCTGATGCCCAGCTACTCCTGATGCTGGAAGGACAAGGCTTATTCTTGTCCCCTAAATTCTGGGGCAGTTGAGAAGCTCCCTTTCTCACAGGGAGACCCTCGTGATCCATTTATCTGAAGCCGCCAGGCTGTTGTGCTAAGAAACGTTGTAAAGGTGATTAATGGTTCCACACCGGTTGTTCGTTTTGAATTTTCAGTGGGCTTCCTTTGCTGAGTGGTTTTAGGATTTCAGTAGAGCTTCTCACAGAATACAATGAAAATTTTTAAATGTCTTTAAGCAGCAGATTCTAAACAGTTTAGAAAGGATGCTCAGAATTCACTTTTTAGCACTAGCCCTTTATCTTAGAATTTTCTGTAGCTATACAAAGAGCTACCTATTAGGAGCCCTGGCTGGTGTAGCTCAGTGGATTGAGTGCAGGCCTGTGAACCAAAGAATCGCGGTTCAATTCCCAGTTAGGGCACATGCCTGGGTTGCAGGCCAGTTTGTAGCAGGGGATGCACGAGAGGCAACCATACATTGATATTTCTTTCCCTCTCTCCTTCCCTTTCCCTTTAAAGATAAATAAATAAAATCCTTAAAAAAAAAGAGCTACCTATTAAAAAGTAATGGTAGGTTCTAGTTTGCCTCGCTTGTACTGGTTTTTCTGGCTTTGGGAAAACTACGTTACCAAGTAGAAGAGTTCTGCTCTGAAAGGGACGTGTGGGAAGAAGAGAGTTGTTCTGACCGTGAGCCCCCGTGTGCCTCCCCCTCCTGCCCTCCCAGGCCCTCTGGCTGTGTAGGGATTAGTTGGTCAAATACGGAGAATGCCCAACGGGCCGGCCCGCTTGGCTCGTTTCGTTTTCTGTGGTGAGGCTCCACTCTGTTGAGTTCGACCCTACTGCGCTGGACTCCTGGGGCTCCGGTTCACTCTGGGTGGGAAGGGGTGTTGGTCTTCATGGTGTCTCGGCTCTAAGTGAGCAGGCAGCGTTACTACTCCAAGTCATCGTCTGTGAATTATGCTCAAGGAACCCCAGGGGCTTTTAGGGCCCCTGTATGTGCAAACGCTATGGTATCGGCTGGGGACAGGGAGGAAGTGCCCCCTCAGCCCCAGTCACTTAAACCAGAACTGCTCCAAGAGCCGCTTCTCTACGGAAGTCACCTAGAGACAGAACCAGGGTTTTTCTGGCAGGACACCGAGTGGAGTGTTTTCTCTCATACTTAGTGACACGGCCTTTCAGAAACAGCTCTCTCAGACAGCGGGAGACTTGCTCGCACACCCCCGGTGCCTGCGCTGAGAGGAGAGCAGGTCCCTTGTTCAGATCCTCGTTTGACTTCCAGGTGAACAAGAACGACATCCGGAAGAAGGTGAGGCGCCTCATGGGAAAGTCGCACATTGGGCTCCTGCACAGCCAGCAGATCAACGAGGTGCTTGACCAGCTGGCGACCCTGGTAAGCGAGGCTCAGCCATTCCCTGGGCCCCCTGCCACTCCCTGACAGCCTCCCGGGCCTGGTGGCCTGCAGCAGAGGCTTCCCCGCTGGTCGTGTCCGGGCCTGTGTATGTTCCAAATCCTCCGTTCTGAAGACAGGGTTGTTGTTCTGGGCGCGGCCTTCGCCCTGCTGTGGTAGGGTAGGATTCTGTGCCCTGACACGGTGCTGCAGCAGCCATTTAGCGTGGGGTCCGTGGGCCCTCGGGCGTTTTCACGACACCACTGCAGTGCTGTCTGCCTTTCTCACTGGGTGACATTTGCACTGATGGCGGTCAAACCACTGGCACCTTAACACAGGGAAGGCTGTGTCTGCAGACCACTCGAGGGGCCCTGTGGTCCCCACCTCCACGACTCTCAGTTAGAGGAAGACAAAAACAACCCAGTTCCGGGCTCTCCCTCCCTGGAGCGCCTTTCCCCTCGTCCCGCTGCCTCCCCCACGTGCGTTACCTTCACCCTTCCCTCTCCTGGGCTCGACGGGCCCTTCTTGTGCCTCCGTAACTTGGTTCCTGAGCCTGTTCCTTCTACAGCTCACTTTATGTACCTCCCTGACTAAGTAAACTTTCTCTTATTAGAAAAAAAAATTGCCCTGGCTGGTGTGGCTCAGTAGATTGAGCATCAGTCTGAGGGTCGCTGGTTCGGTTCCTGGTCCAGGCACGTGCCTGGGTTGCGGGCCAGTCCCTGGTCAGGGGCGTGGAAGGGAAGGAGCGGCCAGTCAGTGTCCTCACACACTGGTGTTTCTCTCCCTGTCTTTCTCCCTCCTCCCCCTTCTCTAAGAATAAATAAAAATTTAAAAAACCCTGAAAACCAAAAAACCAACTCAGTCTCACTTATGAATGTCCTTGATGAAGCGGTTAAAATCATTACTTTTAGTCAATCTGGCCTTTGACTGTACATCTCTGTGATCTTCCGTGTGACAAAACGAGAGATGCACACGAGCGTGTCCGCCGCTGACCAGCATGCGGCCGCTGGGCGGGAAAGCAGCTGCCACGGTTCGAGCTGCAAGGCGGCCTGGCAGCCTGGTCCACGCGCGTCCTGTTACCCGGAAGCGTGGCTGACAAATGGTGGTTATTTGGGAGCTTCCTGGTGTTTGCAGACTTCCCCGATGTGATCGACGCTGCTGTTAGTAACTGTGACTCTTCGATGTGCGGTGTGTCGACATTTAGAAGAGCCGCGTGACTTGATGAAGCAGTATTTGCCAAATGACTAACGTGTGGTGTCACACATTCAAGTGGGTAAAAGAGCCACTCACACTGGAAGGCAGAAAAATGGGTTTTATGTAGCAAAGTACAAAATGTTCGCTGATGTGTTTGCAGATCCCACGTTGCAGCTAACTTTTGGAAACTGCTGCTTCTCGACTTTTGGTATAGTACCCACGAAGAATTTGCATATTTATCTGCAAAGGCTATTAAAATGCCCCTCCCCTTTCTAAACACATCTCGGCGGGGCCAGCTTTTCTCTGCCTACCCCAACCAGAGCCAATGTGTCTCAACAGATTGAATGCAGAAGCAGTTACGAGAACCCAGCTATTTTTTATTAAGCCAGACTTTAAATTAGAGATTTGCAAAAATGTAACACAGTGCCATTCTTTTTTATTTCTTTTGTTTGGAGAAATAGTTATTTTACCAGAACCATGTTTTATATTACTGTGCAATGGGTTTATTAATGGGTAGTTAATAACTTCTAAGTGAATTAGTAAACGTTTAAAATTTTCCATTTTACTCTCTACTGCGGTGAATATCTGTAAAGGTAACACACACAAACATAACGCTTTCGGGAGCTGTCTGTGGCTTGTAAGGAGCCTAGGAGTGCTGAGACCAAACTGTCTGAGAGCCCTTCCCTGGTGGGTGGCAGACAGCCAGCAGACAGCAGGTGCGCCATTAGGAGGACGCTGTTAGGAGTTTAGTTGCCACAGGGGGTGCATGGCCCGGAGCACCCTGTGGGCGGGTGTGTGCGTGACCCTGAGAGACCTCTCTTTCCTCAGAACGGCCGTGACCTCTCTATCCGGTCCAGTGGCAGCCGGCACATGAAGAAGCAGACGTTCGTGGTGCATGCGGGGACAGACACAAATGGAGATCTGTTTTTCATGGAGGTGGGTGCTGGCTCACACCGGGGGCCCTGAGGAATATTCGAGAGTCACAAAGAACTCCTAGAACTGATGCCAGGAGACTTTCCCACTTATCTCATTCATCTTCATGGTCCTTTTATCATTCATTAAGTTTTCAGGCTTTTACAAATAACATAATAGATTATTCCCTATCATTCCTTTTAAATGTACTTATATTTATATAACAGGTGATAAAGTCACACTGTCCTTCAGTCAGAAGGACATATTGTGACATATACGTTGGGACGTCTTGCTGTCATTCTTGTCCCCATCCACCTCACCCCTTCCTCCTGTAGATAACCACTTTTATTGGTTTCTTTTGTATCTTCCAGGTTTTTTTTAATGCAAACACAATAAAACGTGAACATAAATTCTTTCTTCTCTCCTTTCTTAGCACATCACATCCACTGACCTGTACCTTGCTGTTTTCCTTAAACATCCTGGAGATCTTCAGAATCAGTACAGAAAGTTTCTTGTTCTTTTTACAGCTGCATAGTATCCCACTCTGCGGCCGGACCCTAGTTAATTTAACCAATCAGGGTATATGGGCCCTGGGTTTCCTTCCACATTTTTGCTGTAGCTCACAGTCTGCCATGAATGATGCTGTGCCTGCTTCATTTCATTCCTGTGCAGGTTTGTCTAAGAATTTTCAGGAGTGGGATTGCTGGGTCAAAGGGAAAATGCTTTTATAATTTGGTTGATATGATTCTGAATTATTTCCTAACATGTAATAGTCCCCCTCCCACTTTGCCAGTATTTTTTTTAAAGAAATTTGCCCTATGGAGGAGTATCTCCATGTAGATTTTAAAAAAGATTTTATGTATTTATCTTTAGAGGGGAAGGGAAGAGAGAGAGGGAAGGCAATCAATGTGTGGTTGCCTCTCATGTGTCCCCCGCTGGGAACTGGCCTGCAACCCAGGCATGTGCCCTGACTTGGAATTGAACTGCGATCCTTTGGTTTGCAGGCCTGTGCTCAATCCACTGAGCTACACCAGCCAGGGCTCAGTGTAGATTTTTTGCTGACTGGTATTAACATGTTTCTCTGTCACTTGGATTTCTTATAAACAGGTAGTTCAGTTGAGAGGTTCGAACAGTTTTAGATTGAGTATTTTGGCAGGTGCACTTCCTGGATGGTACCATACGTGTCCCGTTGCCCCGCGTGGCTGTCTCTCCCCTCGTGGTCGGGGGGCTCAGGTGTGGGCAGCTTGGTCTTGCCACTGGAAAGTTCCTCAGTAGTCTTCTGATCCTGCTCGTGGTGTTTTTGCCATGTAGAATTTTTTAAATTTTTATGTAGTTGATCCGTCGTTTCTTTTATGATTTCTGGATTTTGCGTTATAGGTAGAAAAGCTCTTTCTTACTCCAGGCTTATAAAGGAAATGGCCGTGTTTTCTTCATTTCTGTGTTTTTAATTCTAAAATGGATCTCTTCTAAGTAATGGTAGGGACCAAGGACACTTCCTGTATAAAGTAGTGGAATTAAGTAATCTTCGTAAGTATTCTATTTCCTTTTGGCTTAGTCGAATTTGACTTTCACATTCACAGCTTTTTAAACAGGTGGTTTATCAAACACGGCGTGTCTGCTCCAAAGCAGAAACGCTAACGATGTAACTGAGAAGGGAGTCATTTTCATGCCACCGTGACGCGTTAGAATTTGGCCCCGCATCTCTCAGAGCCGAGCGTGGACCCAGGACGTCTGCGCCACAGTGGAGGTGGCAGGTGATTCTTGCCCGTTCCTTTTCCTTTTAAAAAATAAATCTCCGGAAGAAGATTCTGTGGAGTACAGGACTCACTGTCACCGCTGTGCAGGGGAACCTCATTCGGAACCCCTGGAGTGGGGACGGTGCCGTCGCCTCGCAGCTGTCCCTCCGTGAAAGGCTGCCTCACCACAGCGGTGCCCCTCCCTCACTCTGTGCTCAGCTGGCTGCTGCGAGGTTCTCTGGTTTTTCAGCCTTTCTCAGCACGTGGTCAGTTGGATAGCAGTTTGCAAAGGCTTTAAAAAGCCATCTTTGTTGCCTTTGTTAAAAAGTGGAATTTAATGAGTAGCACTGGTTAATGGTATCATATCAGTTCAGGTGCAGCATCATGATTTGACACCTGTAAACTCCACAGTGTGCTCACCACCCCAGGTGTAGGTTCCTTTCGTCACCGTGTATTTGACCCCTTTACCCTCTTCTACCTGCCCCCACTGCATTTTTATTACAAAAGTGAGACAGTTTATGCTTTAAAAGTTTCAAACCATAGAGAAGTGAATAAAGTAAAAAAGAAAAGTTTCGCTTCACCTCCTCCCAGTCTTGTGACCCCCCTGCCATGTCTCAGAGTAATCACCTGTTAGTTTGGTGTGAATCCTTCCAGAGTTAAAAAAATGCATATTTGTATAAACAGAGCTGACTTATATGGGAGTTTGCTTTCGTGTTTACAAAAGTGCTATCAAACTACAAATATTATATAATTTGTTTTTTTAACTACTGTATCTTTCTATTAGGTGTTAAATGGATGCACCATAATTTAGTCCCCTCTACCATTTTTTTAAACAATGCTTCATTGAATGTCCTTGAACATACATCTCTGCGTACTCGTGAGAATTTCTACAGAATAGATTCTTAGTGTGAAATTTCTGAATGGAGCTTACATACTTTTAAAATTTTGATAGATTCTGCCAAGTAGCCAACCCACAGACGACCAGTTTACACCCACACCAGCGGCCTAGGCGGGCAGGACACGTTATTACCGTCATGTCCCCAGGCTAGAAACCGCACGTTCTCCCAAACAGCAGCCCCTCTCCTTCACGTGATGTTCTTCAGAGATTATGGGGCTAACCCAGGCCTCTAGTTCTCATTCAACTACTTGGTACTTTTACTTACTCACCTCACATTTACGGAGCACATAGCACGTGGTGGGCTGTCTGCTGCACTTGGGGGTACGGCGGCGAATAGGGGAGACGTGGTTTCCGTTGCCCTTACAGGGTGGGCAGACCACTGGGGAAGCCAGATAATTAAACAGACGCTGCCATACAGTATGATGAGCACTGTGAGAGCAGTTCAAGGCGGGCGCTACGGGAATGCACAGCAGAGGGTCCAGGAGTCGTGGGGGACCCCTCAGAGCGACCTCTGGGACGAATGGCTGGAGTGGAGGGCGTGGAGCGTTCCAGGGATATCTGAGGTAGATCGGTTGGGGCTCGATGGTGTAGACGGAGTGAGCGGAAGGAGCCTTGCGTGGTGCCTCATTCTGGCTTGGGCACCTGGCTGGGTGGTGACACCATTTACTCAGTAGGGGACTCAGAAGGAGGATCTGCCCAAGAGGATGTTGGGTTGAGATTTGGACATGATGAGTTTGAGGTCTGCCTGTGAGGTGTCCAGATGGAGGGAGGTCAGGGACTTAGGAAGACAGGGCTTCTGAAAAGTTTAATGATACTCGTCATAATGATAATGGTGATATTTATTTTTTAAATTATATTGTAATGATTATGCTATTCCAGTTGTCCTGATTTTTCCCCCCTTGCTCCCCTCCACTCACTCCCTCAGGCAATATCCCCCCCCATTGTTCATGTCTATGGGTCATGCGTTTAAGTTCTTTGGCTACTCCATTTCCTGTACTGCACTTTACATCCCCATGGCTGTTCTGTGACTTTGTACTTCTTCTTCTTCTTCTTCTTTTTTTTTTAAGATTTTAACTATTTATCTTTAGAGGGGAAGGGAAGGAGAGAGGGAGAGAAATATCAATGTATGATTGCCTCTCATGCGTCCCCTGCTGGAAACTGGCCTACAACCCAGGCATGTTCCCCGAACCACAGTTGTTTGGTTCACTGGCCCACGCTCAATCCACTGAGCTACACCAGCCAGGGCCGACTTTGTACTTCTTAATTGCATCACCTCTTCACCCCTTCCCCCCTTCCCCCACACCCTCCTCCCACCTGGGAACCATGAAAATGTTCTCTGTATCCAGTGCTCTACCTCTGTTCTTCTTCTTTGCTTAGTTTGTTTTTCTAGATTCAAGTGTTAATAGATATGTGTTCTTGCCCTTTTATTGTTCATAGTTTTGATCTTCTTTTTCTTAAATAATTTCCTTTAATAGTTCATATAATAATGATTTGGAGATGATGAACTCCTTTAGTTTTTTTCTTGTCTGGGAAGCTCTTTATCTGCCCTTTGATTCTAAATGATAGCTTTGCTAGGTAGAGCAGTCTTGGCTGTAGGTCCCTGCTTTTCATGACTTTGAATATTTCTTTCCAATTCCTTCTAGCCTGCAAAGTTTCTTTTGAGAAATCAGCAGACAGTCTTATGGGAACTCTCCTCTAGGTAACTAACTTCTTTACACTTGCTGATTTTAAGATTCGCTCTTTATATTTAACCTTTGCCACTTTACTTATGATGTGTTTTGGGGTGGGCCTCTCTGTGTTCATCTAGTTTGGGACTCTCTGTGCTTCCTGGACTTGTATGTCCATTTCCTTCACCAAATTGGGCAAAATTTTTTTTGTTATTATTATTATTATTTTTTAGAAACCCTACCCCCTCTTCATTATTTTTTCAAATAGATTTCTGATTTCTTGCTCTTTTTCTTCCCCTTCTGGCACCCCTATGAGGCAAATATTGGACTTCTTGAAGTTACCCCAGAGGTTGCTTGTATTATCTCATTTTGGGGATTATTTTTTCTTGCTGTTGTTCTGTGTGGTTACTTTTTGCTTCCTTATATTACAAATTATTGATTTGATTCTTGGCTTCATCTATTCTACTGTTGTTTCCCTGTAAATTGTTCTTTACTTCAATGAATGTACCCTTCATTTCTGACTGGATCTTTTTTATGCTGTTGAGGTCCTCATTAAGTTCCTTGAGCATTCTTATAACCAGTGTTTTGAACTTTGCATCTGATGGATTGCTTATCTCCATTTCATTTAGCTCTCTTTCTGGAGTTTTGATCTGTTCTTTCATTTGGGCCATGTTTCTTGGGTCCTCTGGGTGGACCCAAGACATGTTTCATGTCTTCTTTGTCTTCTTATTTTGGCAGCCTCCCTGTGTTTGTTTTTGTGTATTAGGTAGAGCTGCTTTGACTCCGTGTGTTGGCAGTGTGGGCTAATGTAGTAGGTGTCCTGTAGGGTCCTTTGGCACAGCCTGCCCTGTCACCTAAGCTGGGTACTCGAGGTGCGCACTCAAGGTAGGCTGAGTACACCTTTCTCTTGTAGTTGAGTCTTGGTTGCTGCTGGTAGATCGGTGGAGGGATTTACCCAGGCCAGTCAGCTGCAAGGATTGGCTATAGCCTCTTACCACCAACCTTCACCTTCTGTGGAGGATGAGCTTTGCAGGGACAGGGTGTTGGTGCTCCAGTGTGGTCTGTAGCTGTCCACTGGGTGTGCTGGCCCTGGGGTTTCCCAGGTAATTCAGGCCAAGGTTAGCTTCCACCTGTGTTTCGCCTTAGACCACCCTTCCTGAGTTATAAAGCAATCTGAGAATGCTGCTGGTACCTGGCCTGGGGCTCACTGAGGCCAGCCATGGCTTATTTGGTAGGATTCAGGAAGTTGTGCAGCATGGACTAAGACAAGCCATTCATATGGAAAAGCAGCTTGGGTGGGCCTGTAAGTTGGGTGAGATAAAGTCTCTGGGGATCCCCCAGACAGGTCAAACAGTGCTAGCCAGGTTGATGGAGTCTCAGATATAGCACCAGCCCACTGGCTCTGTTGGGGAGGGTCCAGAAAAGGGACAATGCTTTTCACTCACCTTCATGCCAGACACTTCAATCTCTCCCTGAATACCGCTTGTGCCTGCCAAGCTGTTACCCTGATGCTAGAGGTCAGAGGGAGTGAATCTGAGTCCGTGTGCAGGTTCTCTAAGACGAACTGCTTGGGGCTCCAGCAGTTTCTTCCACCAACTCAGTCCCCTCTGGTTTTTGCAGCCAGAAGTTGTGGGGACTTACCTTCCTGGCACTGGAACCCTGGGCTGGGGGGCCTGGTGTGGGTCTGGGACTCCTGACTCCCAAAATATCCCTCCCAAATTTTTATCCACCACATGTGGGTGTGGGGCCAGCCCATTCTGTGTTTGTGCCTCCCCTAGCAGTCTGGATGGATGTGATTTCTTTAATTCTGTGGTCAGCAGACTTCCCTTTAACTTGATTTCTGACGGTTCTGAGTGACGGTGGTTCTATATTTTAGTTGTAACTTTGATGTGGTTGTGAAAAGAGCTGAGCCATGCTTACCTGTGCCGCCATCTTGACCAGAAGTCCTCAATCGATAGTTCTTGGATCATAACGATATTGTTGTTATAGCAGCTGACACCAGGGTACTTTCTCTGTGCCTGACTTTGTTCTAAGCAGTTTATGCACATTAATTTATTTAACCTTCACCAGAACTCCATGAAGTTTTTACACAGGAGGACAGGTAGGCGCAGGTTAACTTCCCCAGGTGGCACAGCCGAGTAAGAGGACAGTGGACTGCGGCCCTGGGCGGTCTGGCCTTACCCTGTGCCCCAGTCCACTGTGCTTCCAAGGTCCCCTTAGAACAGACACCTCACCCGGGGGCGCCTGCCGAGCGGGAGGAGGACGTGGAGGAGGACTTTGCCTTTTCATCTATAGCGCCCTGCACTGTGGAACTTCTCAGCAATAAGCATTGTCTATGTGCCACACGTGTAATTAACTTTTTTTTAAGATTTCTGAAGAACAGGACTGAGCCAGGATTAGAAATATGTTTTCTATTTCTAATATTTACTCTGGAAACATAGTTCCAACCGAAATATGTTTTCTAATCCATTTTTTTTGTCCCTGGTGGAGCTTGCCATGACCCCCTGCCTTGCGCTTGCCGACAGAGGCGACTCCCGAGGCTGCGAGACGCAGGCAGGAGCCGTCCTCTGAGTAGTTTGAACCCAGAGCACGCGAGAGCTGATGGGCACCAACGAAAGTGAAGAGGGAGCCTCCTGCCGGCTCCCAGGTTCCTCTCAGTGACGCGTCTCTCCCCATAAACCCTCCAGTGGACAGTGCGTCCACAGTTCAGTGTCCGTTCCCCGTCTGAGGACGACTGTGAGCACACGTCAGAGAACCCGAGGGCGGGGTGCCCCAGACCCAGCCGTGCCGACAGTGTAGCGTGGCTGGGACGCCGAGGCTGGCCGGGACGGGCCACTGAGCCGCTGTGTGCGCCCTCGCAGGTGTGCGACGACTGCGTGGTGCTGCGCAGCCACATCGGGACCGTGTACGAGCGCTGGTGGTACGAGAAGCTCATCAACATGACCTACTGCCCCAAGACCAAGGTGCTGTGCCTGTGGCGCAGAAACGGCTCCGAGACCCAGCTCAACAAGTTCTACACTAAGAAGGTACCACGGGCTCCACCTGGGCTGGGGGCGGGCGCTGAGGGCAAGGTGTCAGGTTTCTTGTGTGGAAGTTAAAATTCTGAAATCCTTGTCTGGGGCCCCACTGTGGCCTGGACTGTGGAGTAGGGTGTGCGGAGCCGTGGCCGAGCCTGGCCCTAGCCCAGGCTCCCAGCAGCTTTCACGGAGGGGAGGGCAGGGGCTCCAAAGGCGGAGTGATGGGCAGCTCTGTCCCCATGTGTGTGCCGCAGTGCCGGGAGCTGTACTACTGTGTGAAGGACAGCATGGAGCGCGCCGCCGCCCGGCAGCAAAGCATCAAACCTGGTGAGGAGAGCTCCTGAGCCGGTGCCTTCTGTTTATCTCGATTGGTCCTCAGGAGAGTCGGGGCCCTGGCGAGGAAGTCGGGCTGGGGGTGCCCACCTCCCACTTGGCTGATAACCTCCTCCCTCCCCACAGGGCCTGAACTAGGCGGCGAGTTCCCTGTGCAAGACATGAAGACCGGCGAGGGTGGCTTGCTGCAGGTCACCCTGGAAGGGATCAATCTCAAGTTCATGCACAACCAGGTAGGTGCAAGTGGCAGCTCAAGGCTTCCTAGCACTGTTGTTCATCTGCAATAAGGATCAGTGTCGAGGTCCCCAGAGCTTTCCCAGGGAGCAGGAGAGGGCCTCTCAGGCCAGTGGGAGGACGGGAGCAGCCGGAGCAGAGAGAGGAACCAGAGGGGCACAGTGGTGCTCACAGGCACCTGGAAGGTGCAGAGGGGAGGTTATGGGGCGCCCAGGGCAGAGGGAGCCTCCGTGGTGAGACCTGGCGCAGTGTGAGTGGGAGCGTCGCCTCGGCCCTTCTTCGCAGCATCCGCCTTCCCTGGTCCCAGGGTGTGCTTTTGCTTAGTGGTTCCGCTTTGAGAGTCTAGACCAGCTGATGTCAAGCGTGTGCGTGAAGTGTGCACGTGCGTGTGTGCGGATGTGTGAGTAGCTCGTATCTGTCCCGTGTGGAGTGTGTGGTTGCTTTTTTCCCCGGCTGATTCTTCTTCTTACTCTTTTCCTTCCTCCAAGTGTCCCCTGCACTCTGTCCCCGCTCCACCGGCCCCGCACCCCTTCTTTGACTGGGGAACACTTTGGGAGACCTCTTTCCCTCACTGAGACTCCACAGTAGGAGCTGACTTTTTTCTTTCTCTTGGTCGTTTACCTCAATGTTACTTTTCCTCTCTGTGGACATCTAAGTTCTTTCCTTTCTGAGGCCAGCGCTCCCTCCTGGGTCTGCTCCCGGTTCTGACTCCTCACCCAGGTGCCTTCCCCGCCCGTCCCAATTCACTGGTTCCCCTCCGGAGGCTCCGGCCCGAGCCCGAGCCAAGTGTGTGAAGCACCGCAGCCCCTCCAGGCAGCAGACCCCCGAGGTCGGGGAGGGGGAGGACACCCGGACTCCCTGCCTCCCTTCCACTCGCCTCCTCAGTTCTCCTCCAGGGACCCGGCAGCAGCTCTGCTGTGCCGGGCACCAGCTGCCCGGGGCTTCTTGGCCGTATATTTTCAGTAGTATATTTACTATGGAAACATTAATATTTCCAACAGTATACTTGTAATAGTATACATAGCCCGAAGAGGGATTTACCTGTGCACTTTTCTGGACCGTGAAGGTGCTGGCATTTCTTGGGGAGCAGGCTTCTTACCCCTGTAGTGCCTGGCCGCCCCTCTTGCCTCACCTTCTGAAGACAAGATCTCGTGAGCATCCAGGTGCCCTCTTCCGGCTCCCACCCTCGGTCTGCAGCCCCTCTGGGTGGACCCAAAGCCTCGCTGTTACAGAGCACTTACGGGCCTGGGCTGGAATTTAAGGCTTTGCCCCCGAAGAGAGTCCCCACAGAGAGGGCGAACCAGACCCTGACTGACAATGAGGTGAGGGCCAGGGTCCACCTGCCGCCCCACAACCGCCCGGCGGAGTTGAGGGAGCCGGGACCCTCCGAGGGGCTTGCACAGTCAGGCTCGCACGTGGGGAAAGAGCAGTCTTTGGAGTTGGGACTGACTTGGATTCAGGGCCCAGCCCCGTGATTCACGGGCAGCTAAACCTCCTGGTCCTCCGCGTCCCGCCTACAAAGTGAGGGCAGCACTCCCCGCTGGGCCACAGAGACGGAGGGGCTGCCAACAGTGTCCGTAGAACTCCTGGTAGGTGCTCATGAGTGGTGGCCGTTGTTTCCATCACCGCGTGCTTCTCGGGAGAGCCTGGATCCTGTTTCAAGGAAGGTAGCACCGTGTCTGCCCAAGGACAGTCCGAGGGGAGCTTTGCGCCCGTGCCAGCCCTCTGCGCCGGAGGAGGATGCATGGAAGGGCAGAGAGCGGATGGGCTGAGGGCGGGTACCCCTGGGGCACCGTGTCCCACAAACGCCGTCCTGGACACAGGGCGCGGGCGGGCAGCCCAAGCCAGCAGAGGGGCCTTCGGGTTGGGTTTGACCTTTACAACTAACGCCTTCATTTCTCTCCCATGCTTTCTCCTCCGGCCAGGAGCGGAAGGTACATGCCCTTTCTGCCTTCTTCGCTTCTTAGCGCTTTGAGTTGCGTGTGTGTGGATTCTCCTGTCCTCCCTTTGGGAAATAGGTTTTCCGTGTGCGGGCGGGGCTAGAGCTGGGAGAGTGGGCTTCATGGGGCAAGGGGTAGCCTCTGGGCCTTACCCCACCCTCCCTCCCTCTCTTGCAGGTTTTCATAGAGCTGAATCACATTAAAAAGTGCAATACAGTCCGAGGAGTCTTTGTCCTGGAGGAATTTGGTAATTACACTATTTTGCTCTTAGGTCTGGACTCACACGGCAGTAACACAAACCTCGGAGCTCCAGAGGAGGGACTAGAGGCAGAGAGAGCCACTGCCGAGAGGCCTGGAGGGGCCGGAGTAAGAGGGAAGAAAAGGGAACCTGAGATGAGAGAAGGGGAGCGAGACAGAGAGACAGTGGGGCCAGGCAGTGGGTCACAGAAGAGCACGGGGCGCCGGTCAGGCTGCAGCTCAGAGGCGGCACCGTACAGTCTCACCGAACTAGCGCCAAGTTCCCTCATTCGGCCAGGCGATGGTCAGAAAGTTCTGGGGCAGAGCAGATGGGCAGTCCCCACGCTCTGCTGTGCTCACGTTGCCTGCTACGACCGCCCTGGTGGCCCAGGGGGACCCTGTTACGCCTCTGCAGACTCACTCTAGAGGGCAGAGGGGCCTGGCGGCCTCAGAGGCAGACGGCGGTTGGAGCTGGGAGCTGGGAGCCAGCCTCCCGGCAGCCAGGCACCACAGCCAAGCGCCACGTGCAGTGTAGTGGGTTCTCACCCTGGGGCTTTGAGTTCCTGCTGTGTTTGTGCTTCATTCTTTTGTGCCCCTCATCGCTGCTATGAAAACCTTCGTTCTCCAGCAGGTAAAGTGACTTCGCTCGGCTGGTGCTCTCTCCCCCGGCCACTGCCTCGGGCCCTGCAGTGGGTGGGGCGGACCCCCTTCCACCCACCCAGCTGCTCACACTGGTCTCTTCCTTTCTCTCCCACCCCTTCCTTCCCAACCTCCCCCCCCCTGCGCGCTGGCTCACTGGTCCTGAGTTTTTTTCCCTTCTCTCTCCTACCAGAGAGATATCTGGGGGAGTCGTCTGACTCAGGCGAGGACCTGGGCTTCTTGCTCCACCTTTGATGAATTTATTCCCTGTGAACCCTGGGTCCCTGAATTTACCTCTCAGGGTCCGAAGGAGGTGTGGCCAACTCTCATCCTACCTTTCTGGCCCCCAGGAGGAGGCTGAGCCCCTCTTCTCCCACCTCCAGGGGCCGCGATGACGGCTGAGCCCGGGAGGCCTCACTTCTTCCTCTAGCCAAGCAGAGCCCCTGCATGGCTGGGGCAGGGCTGACTCTTGGTCTTGCACTTTGGGCTGTGGACATGTGTGTATCTCGCCTGACGCTCCCTGTCACCTCCTCCCGGGTGCTGTACTCGCCTGTCTCTTTTGCTCGGTGTGCCTGCTCCAGAGCCCTCTGACGCTCTCCCTCACACGGCAGGCAGGCCTGGGCCTCTCCTCCACGCAGGGAAGGAGACGCACACGCCGGGTCGGTGTGGCGGCACGCCACTTCTGCATCCGGCCTCGGGACCCTCTGTGTGGGGGTGGGGGGGACAGGGAGCCGTGCTTGACGCGGCCCGAGTTCTCGGGCATTTCAGCAGGTGAGGCACAGGCTAGACCACTGTCCTCCCAACCCAGATCGGGGACCCCCGCCTGTATGTCTGGGGCCAGGTGGCAGCGGCGGCCACACTGGTGAAAGATGAACCTGCTCCCATAGACGTGGGTGGGGCCACAGCCACCCAGCGGGGAGCTGCCGCAGACCTCGGAGCAGGGTGTCTGGGAGGTGTCCTCTTGCGCTGCGGGGGCTGGACAGGAGCTGTCATAGCCTGCACTGCAGCCACTGGGAGAGGCCGCAGAGGGAAAGGGGACCCTGGTGCCAGGCGCTGCCGCCTGGGGGAGCGTGGCACTACCGCTCTTAGTGTTGAACTTTCCGTTTTGTCTCTTGCCCGTCCGGTTTTAGTTCCTGAAATTAAAGAAGTGGTGAGCCACAAGTACAAGACACCAATGGTGAGTGTGCCACCCGACCCTGAGGGGCCAGTCTCCACAGGGCTCCCTGGGGCCTGGGACAGAGCGGGGCGGGCCCTCTGAGAGCACAGCGTGAGGGGTGATCAGGAACGATCAGAAAGGCCAGTTTGGTCCAGATGCCGAAGATTCACCTGAAGCTGAAACGGGTCTTCGGCCCTGGGGGAGAGACACGTCCCGACCCGCTGCCCCGCCCGTGAGGGCCTCAGGGACGTTGATCGGTCTGCTTTTCCCTCCCCTCTAGGCCCACGAGATCTGCTACTCCGTGTTGTGTCTCTTCTCATACGTCGCTGCAGTTCGCAGCAGTGAGGAAGATCTCAGAACCCCTCCCCGGCCCGTCTCTAGCTGATGGAGGGGGTTAAGGCTGCCCTGGCCCCAGGGGACACCCCTTGCCTCTCGCTGTTCCCAACTGCACGGTGCTGCCGGGATGAGAAGTGGGTGACGTGTGTTATGTTCTCTGCAAACCCCTCTCCGAGGCTTGGCCGGTCCCTGGTTAAGTGTCTCCGTTGGTGTGTTAGTGTGTCCATCACAGGGCTAAACGAGTCCTTTCCACCAGTGCCCCCTTGGCTCCCAGAAGACCAGTCTACTGTTCTCAGGGCTCAAGAGTGAGTGAGTGTGTGTGTGAGTGTGCACGTGTGCAGGTGTGTGTGTCTGTCGTTCGTTGGGCCAGTGGCTTCTGAGAACTCTGAGGACAGGCCCGTGAGAGCCCACTGCTTCACGTCTTCGAGACACTTGTGTTGTGGTCCCTTGTCCTTGGCAGTCTGACCCTACAGCTGGGTGCCTGGAGCAGTCCCACTCTGGGGAACAAGGGAATTTTGAGGCCTGTGCTCCCCGACGAGGGCCAGGCAGGGAGAGGAGGCGGTCAAGGGCGGCCGAGGGAGCGGCCACCGCCCTGCCCCCGCAGTCTCTGGCTAAGCTGGCGGCTCCTCCTGCGGGCCCCAAGCGTCTGTCTGCTGCCCACAGGGCCTCCCTGCAGGTCGGCCTGGCCTTAGGCAGGGGCCTCCCAGGGACCACTGGCTGCCCTGCCCAAGAACTGAAGGGCTGGGGAAAGGCCAAGTTCAGCATACAATCCGCGCCTCTAGGCAGCATCTCCTGGCACTGGGTGTCAGGAGGGGGAGATGGCCTACGAGTGGGCAAGAGATGGTTGTATATATTTATTTCAGCTCCATATTATTTATAGAAAATGTACAGACGTGAATGTGAAATAAATGTCCTTAACTCTCCTCGGGCTCCCGGCAGTAAACGATCCCTCCTCTCGGCCTGGGCCTGAGGAAGGCTGACCCTGGGCTCTGCAGAGGCGCCTCTGGCCTGAAGGAAGCAGGGAGACGAGGTCACACCCATCTGAGCCCTGGCATGCCGAAGCCACAGCCCCCCACCCCTCGGGCCCAGCAGGGCTCCTCCCTGGCTTCCTGGGCTCCCAGAGAGGTTATGGGAAGGGTCCGCCGTCCCTGTGGCACCCCGGGGCCCACAGAGGGCTGCTGTGCTGTGGATTGGCCACTAGAGGGGGCAGCCGACCTGGCTGACCCCTGAGCAGTGGTGAACTTAGAGAAGGAACTCTTGGGGCTCTGGGATCTTGGCCAGGAGCGAGTCTCTTGCGTTGGGTAGAACGCCAACAAGCAACCCTGGCGCCCACCTGCATGGAATTTTTTTTCTAAGCCACAGACAAACCTGCTCCCTGGGCAGGAAGGAGCATTTACTCTCTATCGGGGCACCTCTGAGACCTGCCAGCTCCCTCCTCCCAAAGGGAAAGTGATGACCAGACCGGGCTCCCCCTCAGGGAAGGAAGAGCAGAGCAGGGCCCTGTCCCATCATCTTCCTGGTTCCCGGTGTCTTGCCCTGGTCAAGGTCACTCCCGGTGGGATTTGGGTGTGCACTGGCTGTGGGCTTGTGCCCACCGAGACCCCAAAGCAGCCAGTGCAGCTCCGCTCCGGCCTGCTATGACCACGGGTCACCAGAGTAGAGGTGGTGCCGGGCACGTGGGACCCAGCAGGGGAGCCTCGGCTACCCTGTACCTGTGCTCTGTCACGGCCCTCAGTGGTCTCGCCCAAAGGGTACGCAGGGTTTGGGAGAAGACCGAACTTCCAGGGCTCATGTTTTCTGAGTTTAGGGTTCCACTCTGGGCCACAGCGAGCCCTCCTGCCTTCAGTGCACTCTGAAGAGCAACTGCGCTTCCCCCACTCGGTGTGAAAAGCACACTGGACAGGAAGAGCCGGGTCTCTGGGCTGTGCTGACCCTTTATTGCGCTGACACACCGAGAACATGGGCCGGCCAGGGGGGCCATCCGCGAGCATAGCTGTCTGAGTCCACTCGCTTTTCTCCCTGAAGATCCGAGTGCTTCCGACACCTGCTATTCTTCATCACTGCACGGCCCTCCCGACGCCCCCCAGCCAGCCCGAGACACCCTCTTGCGCGTACACATCCAACAGCAGGAAGGAGGCTTGTCCGGCTTCCTCCAGGCTCCTGGCACTTGGCTGGCATCCAGCACCACCTGTGACACAGGTTCCCTTGTGATACAGCGGACTGCCCAAGAGCTCAGCCTCTGATCTGGGCCCTGGGTTCCAGGGTGGTCCAGAGTACCCACCTGGCCTCCCCAGGAGCCAGCCTGGTCACTGCGGCACTGCGGGAGAGAAGGAGGCGGTGCCACACGAGTGCCGAGCCTCCCAGCATCTCGTGTGTCTTCCTGGAAGGCTAGGGGTGGGCAGCTCAAGTGGCCAAGCCCAGAAGCCGATACCAGCGGGATATGACGGTCACTGGTCTTACAGCCAGAGCAGCTGCTCAGGCCAGGACAGCAGAGTCCCAGCCGGCGCCTTGCCCTCCCCACCACCCCAGGCCCCGCCCCGCGGGCTCCTCACCTCGCACCTCCACGCGGCACTCACACTGTGCCTCGCCTTGTAAGTTGGTGGCCCTGCAGACGTAGATGCCCCCGTCAAAGGGGCAGGGCTTTCTGATCTCCAGCGTCAGCACTCCCTGCTTGCTGAACATGCGGAAGCGGGCGTCTTTTCCCAGGTCCAGGCCGTTCTTGAACCAGGAAATCTTGGGCTGTAAATCAGGGAATGGGAGGGGGATACTGTCTCAGGTTGAGGTGCCACGGCAGGAATGTAGGGAGATTGGCAATTGTGTTTCTATTCTGGAGTCCCAAACTATGGGCCAGGCTGGGAACGGCCTAGGGAGGGGGCTGGAGAGAGGACCTGGGCTCCGAGGCCCAGAGGCAGAGAGGGAGCTGGGAGGGGCACAGGCTGGGGCAGGACTGCTGGAGGCCTGAGCCCCTGGGCCCTGCGTCCCGTCTGCCTGGAACTGGCCTGAGTTCCCTACCTTGGGGCTACCCCGGACGGCACAGCAGAGCGTAGCATTGTAGCCAGCGATGACCGAGCGGTTCACCAGGGGGCGAGTGAAGCTTGGGGCCTCGGAGAAGTCCAGGGCCTTGTACTTGGGTGGCTCATATGTGATGGCTGTGGGTGATAGGGCTTTGTACCGACAGGCCCCTTCCCAGTCCCCACTGCCTCCCTGCCCCAGCTGCCCCCAGGTGGGAGTGAGGGCACAGCACCTGTTCTGGGGATGAGGACAGGCTTCTTGGTGGTGGCGGCTTTGTCACTGGGCCCCACCATGTTTTGGCTGAAGACCCGGAAGTAGTAGCTATTGCCAATGATGAGGTCGGACACCACACACTGAGTGCGGCGGTAATGCTCTAAGACCGTGAACCACTCCTGTGGGAGTGGAGGAAGGGGGCGGTCACTGGGGCTGGGGCCAGCCCTGCTTCCTCCCCGGGGCCTCTCTTGGGCATCCCTGGCACCCGTAACCCAACTGTGGAGGGAAGCAGATCACGGGGTGGGGGGGGGGGGTGAGTGGCGGGCCCATTCTAGGGGCAGCTGAGACTTGGCTCCACCAGGCCCTGGGAGGGCCGTGTCGGGTGGGGGGTCAGGGCCCCAGGCTCACCATGGTCTTCTCGTCGGCCTTCTGTACTGTGTAACCACAGATCTCTGTGTTGCCATCATCCTGTGGTGGCTTCCACTCCAGAGCCACATTGAAACCCCACGTGTCTGTGATCTGAATGTCTTGGGGAGGGCTCGGCTTGTCTGCAGGAGACAGACCCCAAAGGGACACCACAGCTCCCGACACTACTGCGTGAGGGCAGGGAACACCCGCTCGGGGGGACCCCGTTGCCCTGCCGGCTGGGCCTGGCTGCCACCTTCTGTGGGGCTGTGAACGTCCGGGGAGGGGCCCAGGGCTGCAAGGTGTGATGCTCTGGGTTGGGTCCTTGGCACTGGGCTCCGGCAGCCAACCCAGCTCAGGGACAGGAGGTAAAGGGGCTCGGAGGGAGGCCCCAGGGCCACGCACCGACAACCTGCAGGACCAGCGTCGCCTTGTCCTCCATGCTCTCGATGCGCAGAGTCACCTGGTAGGTGCCGGAGTGTGCGCGGTGAGCAGCCCGGATGAAGAGGATGGTGTCCGTGGGGCTGTTGCGGATGTTCACCTCCTGACCTTGCAGCGGCTGCCCATCTTTGGTCCAGGTCACCTGAGGCCGAGGCTTGCCCTGTGGGGAGGGACAGCTCACCCCCACACCTGGCTCTCCCAGAGGGCCGGCCACCACCCGGGTGGGTCTGGGTGTGGTGTGCCCCGAGGCACATCCGTCTGCTGGGACAGAGGAGGGGCCAGCCCTACCTGGAAAGGGATGAGGAGGTTCACGGGCTCCCCAACCCGCCTCTGGATGGTCTGGCGCAGGTGCCGGGGGAGCTGGAGCCGTGGCCTCTCTGTGGGGACAAAGTGGGCGGCTCGGCGAGAGCCAACCACGGCCCGAGGCCTGAGGAGCGCCACGGCTCAGAGGGCTTCGGCCCCAAAAAGTGCTACGGTTGGGCCATCCCCCTGAGCTCCCCCAACCCAGCCACAAATGGCACAAAGCCCCCAAAGGCAGGGACCCGAGAGGGTGAGCACTGAGGCCACAGGCCAGGATGCAGATCTAGGCCCCACGTTGGCCATCTCTTCCCACTTGGACAGCCAGTCCTTACACAACAGGTCATTTGTCGGAAAGTAGACCCCGGATGGGCCAGTTCAACCCCGAGTGACCTCACTGCTCAGTCCTGAGCAGATGGACACACTCTACCTGTTGGAGCTGAGACACTCACAGAACAGAGCCGGGAGGTGATGGTACAGTCACCTCAGTTTTCCATGTTCCAGACTGGGGTTGACGTGGAAAAAGGCCCCTGCCCCTCCTGCCCCTGCCCAGTGCTTAGCTCCTCCCTCCAGGAGGTTCGCTCCGACCCTCCCCGCCTCCACTGGCACCCAGGGCGGGTGGCAGCGACAGGCTCGGCGACTGCAGGAGGGGCACTCACGCAGTATCTCCTGCACCGTCACGGGCTCCTTGGTGGTGGCCGGGCCTCCAGGCCCTGCCACGTTGTGCGCCCGCACCCGGAAGAGCAGCCGGGCCCCCGTGGGCAGGTCCTTCACCAGCAGCGAAGTGCGCTCTGTCAGCCCCTGCAGGGCCGGCACCCACTCTGAGCCTGGTGCGGGGTGGGGGTGGAAACAAGACCACGGGCTGGGTCAACGTCGACACCCTGCCCCGCAGCCCTACCTCTGGCAGCAGCCCCACTGCAGAGGGCCCAGTGGGGTGGCAGGTGCCCGGCCCGGGGGCAGCTCAGAGAAGGGGACACTCACAGCCCTCCTGGCAGTACTCCACACTGTAGCCATCCAGGCCTCCCGCTCCCTCGCGCTCCGGGGGCCGCCACTTGAGGGACACGGTGGTGTCAGAGACGTCCTCCACTGCCAGATGGGTGGGTTCGCTGGGGGGGCCTGGGCAGATGCGAGGTCAGAGAGAGGCCTGAGTCTCCTGGGGCGGACTTCCCCTTCGGCTGGCTTTCAAGCACTTTAAGAAATATCCCCACTCCATTAAAAGACATGGCTCTATACAGGCTTAAAAATGAACAACAGTGACAGGCAAGAGCTCTGTCTAGGAGAAGATGCCCAAAGGAC